CTGCAGGCCATTCTATATATTAGTGTGGAAATCAAGGGAGAGGTCAGGCAAGAATTAAACATTTAAGAGTCCAGGCTAGACATTGTCAGTGCAAAATACATAACTCTCACCTTGGAGAAAGTAAAAGATAATTTATTCTAGAGCCAAATATGAGAGACCATGGCCCTGAAACATGGATTCAGATTACCCCCAAATCATGTTCCAATGTAGTAACAGTTTCATGAAGTTTTTATGGTAACAGAACAAAAAATGTTATAAATCAAGGCATTTTTCAAACACATTGGTGGAAACGTATTGGCAAGTTACAACAAAGTACAGGAGATCTCTGTTACAGACCTCAGATATCATCTAATGACATTCTTACGATTTGTGTGTGTGTATGTGTGTGTGTGTGTGTGTGTGTGCTTGTGTCCTCATGCATGTGCATGAGTGTGGGAATGTGCATATGAGTGCAGTGCCTATGGAAGCCAGAAGAGGTTATTGGATCCCCTAGAGCTGGAGTTATAGGCAGTTGTGAGCTACCCGATGTAGGTACTGGGAACTGAACTCAGGTCCTCTAGAACAGCAGCAAGTGCTCTTAACCACTGAGCCATCTCTCCAGCACCCCGATGACATTCTTAATCTTTTTGTTGGTGGAAGCTAAAAGTCTGCACATTGCTAAAGGGTTTACCTAAGAATCATAGGATGTCAGGGCTGGTGAGATGGCTCAGCGGTTAAGAGCACAGATTTCTCCCACAGAGGACCTAGCACCCACATGGCAGCTAACAACTGGCCATAACTCCAGTTCCAGGGGATCTGACACCTTCAGACCTCCACAGCCATTGCACAACATGAGTGTATTTACATACATGCATGAAATACACCCATACACATAAAAATAATTTTTAAAAATTTTTAAAAGAGTCACAGGATGTTAGTGTGAGGTCAAAGCTCTGATGCCAGGAAAGGAAGAGGGTCATGGGAGGTCAAAAAGAATTCAAAGAGTTGTAGACTGATAAATACCTTATTCACTGGCACAGAGGCCTACAAACACATATAGACTGGCACAGGCAAAGGTGAAGGCAAAGTCTCTGCTATTAAGACCACATTTATACAGAATCACACAGACATGGCCTTTTTTTACTAGGAATAGTTACATAACAGATTACATCACTGTACAACCAATGTCAACAATTTGTGCTGATTCAATCTCCCCAGGACGTCCAGTATCAGCCACCTTCACGCATGCCAAATAGCCATATCATTGCCACGTTTTCTATCTATAAGCTGGCCTGTACTGTTGGGGAACACTGCTGTGTAAGGCAGCAGTCTCTCCATGTCCGGATAGCCCATGGGGCTCGGCGTTCATATGCAGAGACTCCTTTTATCAGCAGGGCGCCTTCCCACTCTCTTCCTGACTCATCTTTGAAGTAGCCATCACAGAAACATGGCCTCTGGCTCCGAAACTGCCAGGTTTTCCTGTATGATTTTCAGGCACTGTCTGACAGCCTGGCAGGAGCCCACCACCACATGTAAATGGGGCATCCTAAAAGCACCTACCAACTAAGGCTTTGCCATTGCCCCCACAGTATAAGTATCCTGGTTTCCCCTTAATAAATCGGAGTTGCATCAGAGCTGTGTCTGAAGCTGTATCATTAAATCCTGCATCTCCCCGGAGAGGGCTGTCTCTTCATAAACAAGGACTCACGAAGGTCCTGCTTTCACCATCCTGCACCTCCCCTCGTGACCCGGCAGCTGACAGATCTCAAACCCAGAGGGAGTGCCAGGTAGATTGGGACGGAACCCGCCTGGAAACGCAGCGATCAGTAGAGTCGCCAGCATCCAGTAGTCACGGAGAGTCTCAGCAGACGCGGTGCATGACCTGCCGCACCCCAGCGGTGCGCAGGAGACCGGCGCCACGCCCAGCAGCTGGCGCTCTGAGATCCCTGCAAGCCCATACTGTACAGCACTTTTTTCCCTAGAGTTAAGTTAAACACAGATGGGCAATGAATGGTTATTAAGGAAATGTGATGGCTAATCCTGGTTGTCAACTTGACACAACTGGGCAGAGGCAACATCATTAAATAACTGTCTTCATCAATGTGGCCTGTGACCATGACAATGAGGCATTGTATTGATTGCTAGTTTATGTAAGAGGGCCCAGCCCACTGTGAGCAGTACATCTCTAGGCAAGTGGGCCTGGAGCTGAGCATGCCAGTAAGCAGTTTCCTCTGTGGTTTCTGCTGCGGGTTCCTGCCTTGATTTTCCTTAATGATGGAATGTAAACTGTAGGATGAAACAAACCTGGGGCTGGAGGGATAGCGCAGCAGTTAAAAGCATTGGCGACTTTTGCAGAGGACCTGGATTCGATTCCCAGCACCCACGTGGTGGCTAACAACTGCCTATAACTCCAGTTCACAGGGATCCATCGCCCTCTTCTGACCACTATGGGCATTGCATGACATGGGTGCACCTACCTCCAGGCATTACACTCATGCATATAAAATTAAAATAATAAATAAAAATAAAGATTAAAAAAAAGATGAAACAAACTCTTTCCAAGTTGCTTTTGGTCATGGTGTTTACCACAGCAGCAGAAAATTAAACTATAACAGGGGCCTAAGATAATCAAAGATGATTTTGGCTCCCAACCTGTAACATACCAGCTCTCCATAGCCTCGTATTTAACATACATATAGCATTTTTTCTTGGAACTTCAGTTCATAGCCCTTAAATATGTAAAACCAAATAGGGTAGAAAAGCTAGTTAGAGAATCAAAGACTGAGTTCATTTCTTGTAAAGGTTAAGCTGGGAACCAACACATACCAACAGTCCCTGACAAGTGGTCAGAAAAGAGAAAAGAAACCTCAGAGCATGCAGTATCTTAGAAGTCAACCAAAACCAAAGTATTCCAGGAAGAGAGTGGTCAAAGGACAGAGAACTGATCACTTTCCTTATATTCTGTTACTTATTTTTAAAGTGTTCATAATCAGATTTTTTAAAAACCCACAATTCCTTATAATTGTAACTTTTAAAAATGTTTAGGTTTCAGAAATAAAGACATATTTATTTAATTGGGGATAATATTCCCACGGAACAAAATAATCTAATCTAGAAGAGATTTTATAGGAATAATGTGACTATAGGAAAAAATCTAGGCCAAGTAATCTAGCTAAATGAAGTTGAGAATTAAAATGTATGGATAAAGTTAAAAGGCAAAGAGTAAGTTGGGAAAATATATCTACAAAAATCTTACAAAAATGGTAAGTAGGTACTACATGAAACAATTTAATAGACAATCTCCAATTAGAACACTAAGCAAAACTTACTAGAAAAGCTGAAATGTGCATAGTGTCAAAAACCCACTGTTAAACTTGTGAAAAGACCAGGACCACTAGAGACCACTCTGAGGCTAGAAAAGAAGGTGTTTATTGGGAGGGGCGAGCTGCTGGACTGCTCCCACGGGAGAAAGGGAGCAGTGGTTTGTTGTCACAGCAAGTTGGATTTTATTGGATTTTTCTTTTGTAGGTAGGGGGAGGTGAGACTGTTGCAGGAAAGTGAGTCAGTGGCAGGTGCCTTGGTAAGGGGGGGTTCATTTAGGTGTTTTTCAGTTTTTTCTTTGCTGCAGTGGAAAATTGCTGTTATGATCAGGGTACATTGTTAAAAGCAAAGGCAAGTTGGTTACTGAGAAACTGGGATGGTTTGGTTTTGTTTCCAGGAATGCTACCCACAGGGTTGTGATCACCATGTTGCTGGTCAGTAGAGACTTGGGAGCCAGTTCAACCTAACACCCACATTGAACCCTTTCTTTGATAATAGAGGAAACAATTTTATCTAAATAATTTCTTGTGGTTAAAAAATAATAATTTCCTGGTCATGGTGGTGCATGCTTGTAGTCCCAGCACCCAAAATGTGGAGGAAGATTCCTGTGAGTTTGAGACCGGCTTGGGCTACATATTGAGTTCTAGAACAGTTGATTACAAAGTAACACCCTGTTGGTTGAAGAGATGGCTCTGCAGTTAAGAGCACTCTCCCTCTTCAGAGGACCCAGGTTAGGTTCCTGGCACCCACATGGTTCCAGGGGATCCAATGCCCTCTGGCCTCTGTTTGCAATGCATGCATGTGGTGTGCTTATATGCATGCAGGCAAAACATTCATACACATAAAATATAAATGAATAAATCTTAAGAAAATAAAATATAAAAATAAAGGCCAGCAATAATGGGAATTTTAAAAGGATTGGATTAGAGAAGCAAAAGTGTGTGTCCCGAACTATTAGTAGTGGTCAGACTGGATGGCAAAGTGATCACTGAGTTTTGCTTTTCTCCTTTTCCGCTTTCGGATTTTCCTACATTAGCATGTATTCTAATAACAGCTTCACTTTATGCCCAAATCAATTGCTTGGAATTGCAGTTAGGTATGGTGCTGTGCACCACCACGCCCAGGAAACTTCTAAGTAGTGCTTGTGCTGTGTTTCGGTTTCTGGACTGTAAACTTCTCACATATAAGCCGTATTAGGGTTCCGTTGCTGATTAAGTCAAATACTTCTTTCATGTGTTTTTATCTTCTTAGTTTCTCCAACAAAAAACATAGAAATTAAAAAACACACACACATACAGACACAGACACACACACCCTTTATGTATATTGATTGACAAGCATGCTAAAACGTTCTGACTCTGTACGGTGTCCAAGGGCCTGTGGTTCTGACAGGTGAGGCTGGCGCCGCCTCTCCGCGCATATGAAATAGACTAGGCTGTTACCCACAGCGCACCTGCAGCCTCCCGCACCTCGGCGACCACAGCCTGATATATTTCAGACTCTAAATGGGACTATTTCCCTTTCTAGGAAAGCACTCGGAGAGCAGACAGAAGCTCTTCGGTTAAGAACTTACGGGGAGGTAGTGGTGAGCGCGCCACCTCCCCAACACCTGACTTCAGAGAGGAGGGGCCCGGCCCTCCTTTCCTGGCTTCCCTTCCGCCAAGCTCACGTCCTCTGGCCCCGCCCTTCCGCCGGGCGCGTGACGTCAGCGCGCCGCGCCCTGTCAAGAGCGGGCATTGTTTCGCCCGTGTCGCGGCCGCCGATCCGGAGCTGCCCGGCTTTAGGTGACAGCCGCCATGAGCAAACGCAAGGCGCCGCAGGAGACACTCAACGGCGGCATCACGGACATGCTCGTGGGTCAGTCCCCAGCCGACCTCGCCTCCCTTCCGCCGGCCGTGCGTCCGCGTCAGGCCTCCGCCCGCAGCGTCCCGCGGCCTGTCGAGGAGCGCGGTCCACACCCCCTTCCAGCGAACGCGGTTCTCCTGGGTGAACTTGGTGTTTACTCGCGCCCTTTGTTGTCTTTTCAGAACTCGCAAACTTTGAGAAGAACGTGAGCCAGGCCATCCACAAGTATAATGCGTACAGGTACGTTACTGGCATTCCGGGACGCCTGTGTTTCATAAATCACTTAACAGGGATGGGAATGCAGTGGGTAGTTGGGCCATCTGAAAAGTTAAAAAAAAAAAAGCCAAACAACAACTAGGTGTGGTATCTTATTTAACATTCCAGAATTTTGGCTGTGTATTGAAGTGTTAATTCAGGTAAGTTCACAATTCTGAATGAAAACAGATTTAGTCTGATACATATTATTAATCAGGAATGACTGCTATTTTAAACCATAATGAATGACAGTTGAGGTTTGTACTGTGAAATAGATTTGGTTCTAGAAGTCATGTTTGCTTTTTCGTCTTCCGGGGACTTGACTTGGACCCAAATGGTCCAGCATAAGATTGTCCAACACACAGAAAAAGATGTTTAAGTAGAGCCAATGGGGGTTCTATGCGTGCTAAATGTGTCAGTGACAGGATCAAGCATGCTTTCCTTACTGAGGAGCAGAAAATTGTTTTGGTAAAATATTGAAGTTACAAGCATAGTCCGAAAGTGAAATAAATTCTTTGTGTCATTACAGCATCATTCCTCTGAAATGCTCTCACCTATGTGCCCCTTACTGGACTGTTCGTGACATTCACTGCTACTTCACTCCATAAAAACCTTTCACTTGACTTCTCTGATGCCACTCTTCAGTTCTTTCATTTTTTTAATTAAAAAAAGTTTTATGTGTATGAATGTATTGCCTGCATGTAAGTACACCCGTGTTGTGCAGTACCCACAGAGTCAGAAGAGAGCTTCAAATCCCCTGGAACTGGTGTTATAGACAGTTGCTAGCCACATGTGGGTGCTGAGAATTGAACCCAGGTCCTCTGCAAGAGCAGCCAATGCTCTTAATTGCTGAGCCTTCTCTCCAGCTCCAATTCTTTCATTTTTTTTTTCATGTGTCTTAGCCTTTAAGGTTCATAGTTTCCAGTACTACCAACTCAGAGTACTTCCCCTCACTTTTATACTTTTCCTTTATTAGCTTTGAATATCATTATGTCAGTGACTCCAAAACTGTTATTTATTTATTTATTTATTTATTTATTTATTTATTTGTCTTTTTGAGGCAGAGTCTCCCTGCAGCCCCAGCTGGCCTAGAACTTGCTATATAGACCAGGCTGGCCTTGAACTCGCAGAGATCCACCTGCCTCTGCCTCCCAAGTGCTGGGATTAAAGGCGTGCACCATCACATCCATCTTGAATTTTATTTTTATATGTATGAGTGTATTGCCTGCAAATCTGTAGGTGCGCCCGTGTTGTGTAAGGCACATGGAGGTCAGAAGAGGGTGTTGGATTCCCCTGGGTCTGGAGTTGTTAGCTGCCATGTGGGTGCTGGGAATTGAAGCTGGGTCCTCTGTAAGAGCAGCCAGTGCTCTCAACTGCTGAGCCATCTTTCCAGCCTCCCAAACTGTGTCTTAACTGGGTTTTTCCTACAAAATTTCCCTTCCTATTCAATATATTTCAATACTGAGGTGGGGTTTTTTTTCCCTCCTTTTATTCTTTCCTATGATTTTCTATGTAAAGGAATTGTACTATCATCCATATGTCATCTAGAAGTCATAGAGACACTTAGCCCTCCATTCTGTTTGGGTCATAAGAATTTTCAGAGATGAGATGTCTTGAAGGAGCTCAGGAGTTAAGTGAGAGGAAGAACAGTCTGGACAAAGGAAATAAAATGTGCCCAGGCATTGACACATGACAGAATGACATTTTCTAGAAGTCAGTAATTCACTTTGCTTAAGAGAGGTATAAGCGGAAAGTAAATCTGAAAAAGCTACTTCTGCTTCCCTTGATTGAGGCCAAAACGAACTTTTGGAAATCGTCATATAATCCCGTCATTCTCCCATTACAAATAATTATTTTTTCTTTTCCTGATAAAACCTAAATACATCATAGCATACAAAAGGCCTTTTATGATCTTAATTCTTCCAGGCTTTGACCCACAGTATCAATAATCTGGATCTACTTAACATTCTTGAAATAATTCCCTCTATAAACTTTCATTACACTTGCTTCTTAGCCTATAAGTGTGCCCTTTCCAGACTTATTATCAGTCATATGCTAACAGAGAAGTTGAAATCTAAATCTCAAAGATTATGTTGGAATGAAAAAAATTCAAGGTTCTAAAGATTATTCAATAATTATGTTTTAGAGTTAGTCGAACTGTTACTTTTTACCAGCATCAATTCTAAACTACATTTAACATTGAAATTATGATAGGATATAGTCAGTGAGCTCACAAGGTATACCTAATCTGTTACTGGATTATTGAGCTGTGTGAGATTTTTGAGAATTAAGAATCTGGTAGGGAACTGGGGAGATAGCTCAGTCTGTAAAGTGTTTGTCTTGTAAACATGAGGACCTGGGTTGGATCCCAGGACCTGTGTCAGGAAAGAAGGAAGTCTCATGTGTTGTCATATACTTGTAATCCCAGTGCTGGGGAGGCAGAAACAGTGGATCCCTGGGGCTTGATGGCCAGCCAGCTTAGCCCTACTTGGCAAGCTCCAGGCAGTGAAAGAACCTGTCATATTTTTTAAAAAAGGATGGACAATGTCTGAGGAACGACACCCAAGATTGTCTTCAGGCATTCAAATGTATGTACACACACAAGAATCAGGTAGGCAAGGCCTCAGTTTTATGCCGGCAGGGGAATAATTTTAAAAAGAAGATCTAAGGAAATACATTTTGTAATCGTGAATTTTAAAAGCTTTCCGTGAGCAAATATGGTATCTAATAATTTAAGTATTATAGATATTATGGTGGTAGAGTTGTATGCAGTAATTACGAACAGTTTCTAAAAACTGGCTTGATATTTTCTCTTTACTGTCTAGAAAGGAGACTGCAGTAGCCTGATTCCTTCTAGTGCTAAATGTATAGTTGAAATCATATCCTCAAGTGTGAGGAGCTTTAATTAAGAAGTTAGAGGTATAGTAGGTTGCATATCAGCTATCAAGTTTTAAGTGGAAAACTAGCTATCTTTTTTTTTCTATTTTACTTATGTATATGTGTGTATTGCACCCCTATCGTGCATTGCCCTCGGAGGTCAGAAGAGGCTGTTGGATCCCCTGGGACTGGAGTTACAGACAGTTGTTAGCTGCCATGTGGGTGCTGGGATTGAACCCGGGTCTTCTGCAAGAACAACCAGTTTTCTTAACCACTGAGCCATCTCTCCAGCCCCAAAACCGGCTATCTTTGTAATAGTATAAGTTTTTATGTATATTTCAGTTTAAGAGAAAAGTAAGGTCTTGGGGCTGGAGAGATAGCTCAGCAGACTGCTCTTCGAGAAGAGCCATATCCAGGTGGCTCACAACTGCCTGTAACTCTAGCTCCAGGGGATCTGACTCTTCCTTCTGACCTCTACAGGCACCCCCACACAGGTGGCATACACAGATACATAAGCATATGCAGAAATTTTAAAAAACTTTAGGGTCTTACAGGATTTTCAATTTTTTTTTCTTATAGAAAAGCAGCATCTGTTATAGCAAAGTACCCACACAAAATCAAGAGTGGAGCAGAAGCTAAGAAATTGGTAAGCATAATGAACATGCTGCTTGAAGACTTCACACATGTACAAATTTGATGGGTTTCTATAAGATGAACTCACTTCTCTGAACCTCCTTTGACTCACACAGACCAATTTCACTGATCCTAATTTCTTGGAATAATATTAACATAGTGATACTTTTTGAATACAAATGCTTTTCTTTAGGGGGAAGGAATTAGGCAATTCATTTCCTTTATATAATACTTTGCCATATACATAAACATTCATTCTCAAACTGAAGATTGCCTTCAGTGTGAGTCCTTAAAAAGACCATGGTTGAAAGAGACTGCTGTTGGTATAATGGTCCCTAGCCATCCTGTCATTCCCAGGTATAAGAATTTGTGTGGGTTCGTGTTCTCCAGAGAGATCTTACCAACCGGTCAGCACACAGTTAAGCCCTTTATACATTACGGTAGTTAGCCTGTTCTCTGTAAATTTCTTTGAAGCCCTGTATGCTAGAAATGTGTCATGTTTTCTAGAGAGTCACATCTCTTGGTGATTTGTGATAACATCACTGAGAATATTCTGGGAAGTCTGCATAATGATAGATTGTTTTCATTCAGATCTCACCAAGTATTCTAAACTTCCTCAAATTTAAGGACCATATCTTATTTATCTTTCGTTAAAGAGGCCGAGCTGACATGACCTTTGAATGGCCCAGATATTGATGGTTACCTCTTCTTGTTTCTCTTTGTGTTTCACAAAAGTGCTCTGGAATTTTTAAGTAATACTATTTGATCATCCTTAACTTTCTTATAAGACTATCGAGAGTGTGAACCATTTGTGTCCTTATATTTTCACCCTTCAGAGTCATAGCATTACCATGAACCTTGTATTCACTTTTATGACTGAATGAGAAATTTCACATTAATCATGTATCACATCCTAACCTTGAATTTGTTCCTTGATAAAAATGCTCTAGTGGGGGGGGGGGGCGTCTAGAAAGACGGTTCAGCAGTTCAGAGCCTGTTGCTCTTCCAGAGGACCTGAGTTTTGTTCCCAGCATCCATGTCAGGGGGTTATAGCCAGTTCCAGGAGGCTCTGACACCTTTGGGCTCCACAGACATTTACAGCTCACCTGCACATACGCACACTCAAACATACGCATGACTAAAAATAATTAAAAGGAATCTTTTTTAAATGCTGTTGTGTGTAGATTTTAATTCTTTGTGCTATAAATTATCTTAGTGTCAATATATTTTCCTTAAATACAATAGCCAACCAAATTATAAATACATTAGACTGTAATTCTTGTTCTGAGTTTCTGTCTTGGCATTTCATCATTTTGTTATCACTAAGTGTCCTTTTAGATCTTTATTACTGAACTTAACATAAAAATATTCTTTTTTATGATTATTTTAGGAATCTCAGACCTGTCTACTGTCTAGATAATATGAATGCTTCTAAATAATTCTAGGAATCTGAAATTTCCAGAATGTGTTTGCCTTTTATTCTTTAATGTTAGGAATAGAAAATAGCCAGGGTTGGGGCTGGGGAGATGGCTCAGTGGTTAAGAACACTGACTGCTCTTACAGAAGACCCAGGTTCAAATCCCAGCACCCACATGGAGTTAACAGCTGTCCGTAACTCCAGTTCCAGGGGCTCTGACACCCTCTTCTGACATCTGTGGGCATTATACGACATGGGTGTACTTACACACATGCAGGCAATATGCTCATACACATAAAAATAATAAATATTTTACAAAGAAAATAACCCCAGTCTAAATTGCTTGAGGTGAGTAAAATTATTGTAGCACTATCTGTAAACTGTTTACCTTTTATCATTTAATTTAGAAAATGAGAAGCCTAATTTATTCATTTCTCCTTGGTAATGGTATCTTTTAAAAGTTGAATATGCTCTCAATAATTTGGGGGCATTTATTAATTAAATAAATATAGAACATAGGTGAAGGTAGGGCTAGGAGACTGTCAGAAATAACTGGAACATATTATGCATATTGAAGGTTTAACTAAAAGACCAATAAGCAGGCTGTCAAGGTGGCTCAATGAGTATAGGTGCTTGTTGCTGAGTCTGCCGATCCTGCATTTGATTCCAGGAACCCATATGATTTAAGGAAATAATTGACATAAGTTATCCTCTGACCTCTACAAGCACACTGTAGCATGTGTGCACCACCCCCCCCCACACAAATAATAGGACCAATAAATGTGAAACAAAGAGGTTTATTAATAAATTAATTAAGATACTCTGAAGTACCTGTCAGATTATCAAATATAATAAGACCTGTGGTCAAAAGAAATGTTCGTTCATTGATACAATCTTTCTGATGGATCATTTGGCAGAATGTTTATGTTTTTTTGACCCAGCAGTTTCACTTCAAGGATTTTGTCCTAAGGAGATCAGTAGAGTTAATGTGTAGTGAGGATTCATTGGTTCATCACATCTGAGTGCTTGGGCCCTGGAAATGCAGTGAAAAGAGTGTGATGGCAAGACGTTGTTGGACTGTGCCAGTCTGGAAAAGTTGTTCTCACTATGTGGTGTCTAAGACCATTTTTATGTGGCTGTGTCTCTGCTTGCATGAGTTTATGTATACCATGTGCATGAGGAGCCTGTTATGGCCAGAAGAGGGTATTATATACCCTGGAACTGGAGTTCCAATGGTTGTGAACTGCTGAATGAGTGCTGGGAGCTTAACCCAGGTCTTCTACAAGAGCAGTAAGCATTTTTAACTGCTGAGCCATCTCTCCAGCACCAATATATGTATTTTTTTCTTAATACACTGTCAAATAATGAAAATCTCTCAATGCTCACATGTAGGATATCTGTTAAGTAAATTCATGAAATGAAATACTATGCAGCTACTAAAAATGTTATGGTGTTCGACATAGAAATTTGTTCAGTTTTCTTTGTCCTTTCCTTCAAAGTGTATCATAGGATGATTGTTGGCTTTTTGCTGCTTGCTGTCTTTTAGTAATTTGGCAAGCATTCTTATGATGTCTGTGTTTTTAATTTTCTGTACAGCCGGGAGTAGGAACAAAAATTGCTGAAAAGATCGATGAATTTTTAGCAACTGGAAAATTGCGTAAACTGGAAAAGGTAAAAAGTGAGCTCGTTTCTTGGTGACTTTCCTTATGGCAGCTTGTCGTGGGGCAGGACAGCTGGTGGGGAATGGTTGTGCACTTTATGCATTTAAGTGTTCTATTTAATTTTTATTTAATGTTGATGAGTGTTTTGCCTGCATGTATGTAAGTGTACCACATGTGTGCATTGCCTGTGGAGGCCAGAGGAGGGTGTGAGATTCCCTAGAACTGGAGTTAATGTTTGGTTGTTATCTACCACCTGGGTGCTGGGAACAAAACTGGGTCCTCTGCAAGAACAGCCAATGCTCTTAACTGCTGAGCCATCTCTCCAGCCCCTAACTATTCTATTTTTAAGATGTAAATATTATTTCTATATCATTAACTTAATAGGATTGGGTAGAACATTCCTGTTGTTCCATCTATACTTGGGAAGATGAGGCAGGAAGCTCTCTTGAGTTCATAAATTTAAGACCAGTCTGGGCAACACATTGAGACTGTCTCACAAACAAAACAAGCACAAAAAAAAAATCAGACTTTTCCCCACTTTATATGACATTTAAGAGACTTTTAGCATCTATGATAGAGTTGGACCTTCATTTTCAAGACAATTTTGAAGAAGCTATACATGATTTTTTTTTTTTTGCTTTAATTATCTCATTTTGGGTCATCTGTGAATGGTACTTCTAACAGCATTGAGAAAATTTGAAAACTGCGAAGCAAGTGGATATTAAATGCATGTACCACAAAGATGACTACACAAGGTGATGCATTTATTAATTAGATAGATCTAAATATTTCACAACATATGTATACAAAAAACAAAACCCATGTATTGAATAAACAAGGAATGAGGTGTATTCAGCTGCTGTATTACCTACTAACCACCCAGGTTACTTAGGTGTGTATTATCAAGGCAAATGCAAAGGCTGTGTGAATCAAGGCTGTGTGAATTATCAAGGCAAATGCAAATAATTTTTCACTTTATTTTTAGCATACTGGTATATTTCCAGTAAGATAATTTCAGTTTAAAAAGCATTCCTTAATCATTGTTAGGCTTTTTTTTTTTTTTCTTAAAGATTCGACAGGATGATACAAGTTCATCTATCAATTTCCTGACTCGAGTTAGTGGCATTGGGTAAGAACTATTTCTTAAGTTGTAAAACATAGCTGTAAATAAGTTTTATTTTTCATGTCACTCAAACTAAATTCCATGCTGTTTCCCTTCTAAACTTGCACTTCATTTCCTCTCTGTGCCTTTCCCCATATGGTTCATCCTTCATAGCTTAGGGATCTGCAGCTGGTTCTTCAGTTGCTCTTCTGCAGGTTTTCTGTCCTGCCTCTGCCTCGTGAGTGCTGGGATTAAAGGCGTGCGCCACTACACCCGGTTCCTGCTGTTCTGTTTTAAAAGCCCATCCAAGGCAAATGATGTTACCTACCTCCTCCTTCCCAGTTTGATTTCCCAGACAAAAATATTCTCTTCTTTCTCTAAATTCTAGTACTTGCTTTGTATATCTTCCTGCCCATTTTAGACTGTGCACCTGCTGCTCTGAGCTTGGTTATCTTAAGCATTTTCTTTCCTTGTGAATTTGGAATAAGAACTCGGTCCTTTTTAGAAGGTATCCGGCTTCTTGAACACTGGACAAAAGAAAGATTAACACTGAAATGCTAAGAAAGATTAACACTGAAATGCTAAGACTGTGGTACTGTATTCATCTCTCATCTTTATGGAACAAAACATTCTTTTATATATATATATGATCATTGTCCCATTAAAATGGCCACATTGCCAGTGAAAGTTAGCCTAATTTATATTAAATTCTTAAACACAGTAAACCAAAAATGAGCATGACTCCTTGGGAATCCAAGGCTACTTTAAAATGTTCATTAGAAGATCATTTGGAGAGCATTTGCTGTATTAACCTCTGTTTTTCAGAAAAGAAAATTGAAACTTAAATACAGAAAGGGATCAGCTGTTGCATAGCTAGAGTTAGAACCCTTGTCTTCTGGCTCCCACTTCTGTTCTGTTTCTTCTTCACCATGTTGCCTCCTAACATCAGTGTCAGTTTCTGTACTACAGATAATAAATATCATGGTGTTTGCCCCAAAATACTGTATCACAGACCATCATGCTTAGGTGTTATATGTGTGTACCCATCCATTTCTTTCTATTCTCTGCTCTTTGATACAGTGCAAGAGAGTTGGGAAGTATAGGTGCTGTTGCTGTTACTACTGCAGTCTAGATTTGTCAGCATAGCCAGTCACTTTGTTGTTGTAGGTTACCAAATCCTTCCCTGCAAAATGAGAGGGAAGTTGTATTAATTTCTAACATTCCTTCTGACCCTTGTCCCTGCCATTCCCTAAGAGCATCCTTGGTCCTCTCTGCTGTCCTGATTTATTCATATAAACACAGTAATCACAATGATAATCTATAAGTCTAAAGGAGTTTTTTTGACTGCTTTGCTCATTTCTAATAGCTACACATTGTGCTCAGAATAAGAACTCAAGCTTGCCACTATGGCATAAGGATTGCTATAGAGTGTGACTCTTGTGTACTGCCCAGTGGTATTTCACATCATCCTTTACATCATTCTGCCATACTAATTTTCCTCTTCTCAAACAAGTCAAATTCATGCTTGCCTGAGGGCCGCTCATGAATTGTTTTCTTTGCCTGAAATGTTTTTCCCTTTGGTCTCTCAAATAACTGACTTTTTGTCATTTGATATCTTAGCTTCAGTATTTCAGAGGCCTTTGTTTATCATCCAGCCTAACATGAAAATCAGCCACTCTTTCATGTCCCGCTATATTCATCTACCTGCTATTTTCTTGTTTATTTCCGTAGTTATTGTCTGTCTTTCTTCCTCCCCCCATTCTTACCGCCCTACTGGACTGGAAATGTGAGGGCTCTTGTCTTATTTATGCTGTGTTTCCAGGAGAGTACATGATTGACCCTCAGTAAATCTCAGTTGAATGAATGAAGTTTTCAAGTGCCCACATATCTGTGCATGAGCTTGACGCTATCTGCTTAGGTATCTTTCTTTTATTTGAGTTCACGGTTGCCCACAACTTGTTTGAAGCTTCAGAAATTCTTTAAGTAAAATGAACATTACCAAAGTAACGATGCAACATCCTAGCAAGTTTTTTTAGCTTAATAGTGACTCTATACTTGACCATAAAAGACATAGTTTCACCTGATATGGAGATGATGTGTTTCTTTTGTTGTAGTCCATCTGCTGCAAGGAAGTTTGTAGATGAAGGCATTAAAACATTAGAAGGTAAGTATCACCATAAGTCACAAAGTCCAAGTTAAATTCTCTAACTTGGAAATCCCATTTTTAATCAGTTAATAAAAATAAAGATGTTCTTTATAACTATGTATTAGAGAGTAGATATGGATTAAGTTTACATTCCCATCTTAGACATATTTAGGCTTGTGACTAAGAAAAAAATCAAGATGAGCAGGAAGTGACTTACTGCTGTACAATTCAGAGAATAATCTATAATAACCTTATTTTTGGTTTTAAATAAATTAAGTATATAGCCAACCAAGGTAAAATAATAAATTGCAAGTAGCAGATGGATAATGAAACACCAAATCAGGCACTCAAAACATCTAGCACTGGGGCTGAAGAGATGGCTCAGCAGCTGAGCACTGGATGTTCTTGCAGAGGACCTGGATTCAGTTCCCAGCACCCACATGGTGGCTAACAACCATCCATAACTGGTTCCAGGGTATCCAACACCCTCTTCTGACCTCCACGGGCGTTGCATGACATGGATGTACTTAGAAACATGCAAGCAATACACTCATAAAATAAAAATAAACATTTAGCACGAATAGCCTGGGAAGTCCCTTTAAGACAGTCAGCTGGAGTTCCTAATAAAGAAAGTCCTGGGAAAAATGGAGTGTCCCCTCTGGTGAAAGAGGCTTCCAAGTAAAAGAACAAATGACAGCAGAAAGGTGACATCATCAAATTGAGTGCTCAGAAGAAACCAACTGGAGAAGTTGGAGTTCTGGTTGAACTTTCTCTCCATGGATGAGCTTCCCATGGCTAACTTAAAGCTTTTCTTTCCTGTTACAGGCAATTTTATTAAAATATTTTAATTTTTTAAAAAATTGTATTTTGTGTGTATGAGTGTACCACCTACATGTATGTAAGTGCACCCATGTCGTGTGATGCCCATGGAGGTCTGAAGAGGGCATTATATCTCCTAGAACTGGAGTTAGCTACCGTATGTGTGCTAGGAACTGAACCCAGGTCCTCTGTAAGAACAGTCAGTAGTGCTCTTAACTGTTGACTATCTATCAAACCCCTATAGGCAGTTTTATATCATGGGATAAGCAATAGTAACATCTGTTGGAAATGGTTTACCTTTTAGGTGTTTTTACTCTTGAACTGTTTTACCCTGTCTGTCACAGAGTTAAAGGGCCTGAGAGGACACTTTGAGACATCATAGTTGGGTCTGAAATGGGGAGTGGCAACTCTGGATCTAGAGTTAGCTTCTCAGTGAGCTTAAACAGCATGTGACAGTTTACCAATTTGATGTATGTTACAGACCTCCTGGTTTGAAGACAATGAAGTAGTTAATATTTGCAGGTTTTTGGAAGATCTAAATTGGTTTTGTTTTATTGTTTTAGACAGAAAAGTCTTAACAGATTGAAAGCTAACTTATTTATATTGAGAAAGATTCTGTTAGAAATTTGATGCTTGTTTTAGGATATTTTATTTTCAAAGAAGTGAAAAAAAAATTAGAGCCTAAGCCCAAAGAATTTTAGCATATTTTCCTTAAACCTAAGTATCTTTTATCTCTCCATACTTTCCAAGACTTATATGTTATACATGTGAATTCATTACCATTTTTCTATGGAATGTACTGTGCTACCCTAATAACATAGAATGTTTATGAGTTTAGCTACTGAGAAACAACCCAGATGCTTAGGTGCATAGGTTTTGGAGACTGATCTGGGTTTGAATACCACTTACAACATGTTATTATAGTGGTTGAGCTTTGTGCCTCAGTTTCTCAGTCACAAAATATATATTTCTGCCTCATAGGATTTGAAGTATTAATGTATATAAAGCACTTAGAATCCTTCATGAATAGTAAATACTTAAAGATGGTAACTGACACTATGAGTCATTATATATTAGTAATATTACTAAACCAAGAATTTGTGAGTCAGATAGCTAGAGAATAAACTACCTATACATATAAATGAAATTTAATACTTTACTGCATGTAACATATACAGTTTATCTGAATGATATGATGGGTCAAAAGGGTCAAGAATTTGTGAGTTAGCCAGTTATTGACCTGGTAATGTCAGGAATTTCCTGTTCTGGTTTTTATAATAATTATAATTCAGATATATGTAATACACACACACGTAGTGTTTTCTATGGAAGGTAGTAAATGTTCACATGTCAAAAAAATGTATATTTTTCTCAAGGAATTGTTTTTGAAGCATAATAGTCTTGCTATTTCTTTAACAAGGCTTGCTACTGCACTTATGCCTGGGAGGGGCCATCCAATGAAACTAAGTTACTTTTAATTTTAAGACAATGATTTTCCAACTTTTGCAAATTTAAAAAATGAATATAAAGCCAGGCGTGGTAGCTCACGCCTTTAATCCCAGCACTCGGGAGGCAGAGGCGGGCAGATCTCTGTGAGTTCATTGCCAACCTGGTCTACATAGTGAGTTCCAGGACAGCTGGGGCTACAGGGAGGCCCTGTCTCAAAAAAACCAAAAAAAAAAAAAAAAAATGAAGATGATACCTTTCTCTTCAGGAGTTTGAGCTCAGTGCCTGCACAAATCCACTCTCAAAACTAACTAAACAAAAACAAGGAAGTTCATGAATACATGTTTAAGAATAATGAATCCAAGCCAAGTACAGTGGCACATGCCTTTAATCCCAGCACTTGGGAGACAGAGACAGGCTGATTTCTGTGAGTTCAAGGCCACCCTGGTCTACATAGTGAGTTCCAGAGTTCCAGGTCAGCCAGTGCTACTCAGTGAGATCCTGACTCAATCATAAGTAAATAGAATTAATGTAGTTAATCATAAGACCTTAAGAAGCTATGGTTACTAACGCTACTATATATAAACAGTATAGTAAATGATATTAGATCTTTTAAGGTTGTTTTACTATAGCCAGTAAAATTTGCAATAGTTCATGACTTGTTTTATGTACTTTTTTATGTAACTCTAATTGAAATTTTGATTCATTACATAAAAATGATCTTTAAGATCTGTTAGGTTTTTCAGCATTGATTTGAAAAGTTTTATGTATTCTTACTATCTGGGTTTTTTTCTTTCTTCATTGTGTTTTGAAAATCATTTCAATGTATTTTTCTTCAGGCAGTTCTTTGTAGATAAGGTAACTGAGTTTAGTATCTTTTTTTCCAAAATGAATTCAAATTAAACACCTGACTTTATCTTCTATTCAGATCTCAGGAAAAATGAAGATAAATTGAACCATCATCAACGAATTGGGCTGAAGTAAGATAGCAAATTTTGATACTTGAGATGTAAAACTTTTACAGAAATTTTTTCACACACAATAATTCTTCAGACTTAGCTAAATATAACCAACTTCCATTCATAAGTGCTAAGATCTGTTGAGACTCTTGTAGAGTTTATGCCTATGCTCATTCATTTTGTTACTGCATTCTAGCTTGTTGACTTGCTTCAAGAATTTCCTTCATTCTATTAACTTTATCAGGAACCTTCCTCTTAAAAAATGGAGAATTGAGTGCATCAGACAGACAGTGGGTATTCATTTTCATGTTTACATCATGTAAAGCACTGTACGAGTTCTAGGGGAAGATTATAAAGAGGTATAAAAGGCATGGCTCTTTTTGTCAGGGAAGGGGGTGGTTTGAGATAGTGTCTCACTCTGCAGCACCAGCTTTCCTTAAATTCACTATATAACCCAGGCTGGTTTCATACTTTTGATCCTCCTACCCTATTCTTCCAAGAGCTGGGATTACAGGCACGAGACAACGTGCCCAATTCAGGTAGCTCTTAAGGATTTTATAGTCTTATATGAGAAGAACATGAAACATGTAAAGCTTACATGAATATGAGAACTAAATTTTGAAAAAAAGAAAAATGTCAAATATTAAAGTAAAAGTATAGGAATAAGTGCTCAAATGTTTTTATATATAAACATCAGTGATTTTGTGTAGCAAGTGCTACTTAGGATGATCATGTGCCAGTACTGTGTCTCTTTTTTGTCAGTTTGGTCCTAATTACAATCTTTCCTATTGCTGCCTTACCAAAATATTTTTAAACTAAGAATATTAGTCAGCTTTTAAGCCATGAAGAGACCAAGATAAGGTTCTTATATTCCTTGCATTTATGTACTCTTCTGAAGAACCTGGGTGCTCTGAGACTGTGTGAGGTCTTCTGAAGAACCCGAGTATTATGATAATTGTTCTAAACAGGTGCATTATCATTCTTAGACATGTTTGGACATTATTTCATACTGAGATATCTTCCTAATGGGCTTACTGAGATATAATTTATGCATTATACAGGTATTCCACTTAAAAGTATACAATTCCGCCAGGCGTGGTGGCACAGGCCTTCAATCCCAGCACTTGAGAGGCAGAGGCAGGTGGATCTCTGTGAGTTCAAGGCCAGCCTGGTCTACATAGTGAGTTCCAGGACAGCTGGGGCTACGGGGAGACCCTGTCTCAAAAACAACAACAACAACAAAAAAAAAACTGTACAAGTCAGTGACTTAGTAGATTTATGGGGCTGTACAACCATTATTAGTTTTAGGACATTTTTGTTAGTGTAAAGGAACCTGGTATTCATTAACTGTAATTCCCCATTTATTCCCAACACATTGATTCCCCATCCTAGGCAAAAAGTAATCTTCCTACCTCTACAAATTTGCAGGTTCTGAATGTTTCCAGATATCTTCTGTGACTGGCTTTTTCACTTAGCATCTTATGTGGGTTCGTCAATGATGTAGGATATTTTTAAATACAAAAAAATTGGAGGCTTTTGGTATTTCTAATTTAAAATTTTTTAACTTTTTAAAAAATTTTTATTATTTTATGTGTATGCATGTATTGCCTGTATGTAGGTAAGTGCACCCATGTCACACAATGCCCACAGAAGAGGCTGTCGGATCCTTTGGGACTGGAGTTATGGACAGTTGTTAGCTGCCATGTGGGTGCGGGGATTCGAACCCAGGTCTTCTGCAAGAACAACCAGTTCTTAACCACTGAGCCATCTCTCCAGCCCCTAATTTAAAATTTTTAACTGATACATAAAACCAAAATTTGCACATATTTATGGGATACCACATGATATTTTGATACATGTACACATTGTATAATATTTTAAATCAGGGTAAATATACCCATATCCTCAAACACTTATCATTTCATGATATAAATATTCAAAATCCCTCCTAATAGCTTTTTTTTAAAAAAAAAAAAAAAAGTCTCCCTATAGCCCCAGCTGACCTGGAACTCGCCATATAGACCAGGCTGACTTCCATAGAGATCTGCCGGCTTCTACCTCCTAAATACTGGGATTAAAGGGATGTGCCACCATGCCCCGGAATTCTTCTAGGTTTTTGAAATATGCTGTATATTATCATTATTTAGAAAGCAAATAAAACTACATAGCTTCATTATCATCTAGCCACCCTACAATGCAGTAAAACATCAGAGCCTTATTCTTTTATTTTATATTATTAGGTATATATGTGTGTGTGGATTTGTGCGTATGAGTGCAGTGCTAGAGTTGCAGGCTGCTCTGAGCTGCCTGATGTAGGTGCTGGGAATTGGACTAAGGTCCTTTAGAAGAGCAGTAGGGTCTTAACCACTGAGTACCTCCCCAACCCTCTTACTCATTTTTGCAATTTTTAGAAGCTGTAGGTTGTAACTCTTTAATTTACCAGCAAAGAACAGTCTGCTTTGAAAACATGCAGCAATGATTTATTTACTATGACTTTTAAGGTTTTTGTTTGTTTGAGACAAGGTCTCATTTATAAAACTTGCTATGTAGCCAGAGAGGATGGCCACCTCCCTAGTGCCAGAATTGCAAGCATGTGCTACCATGCTCGGTGTATGTGGTGCTGGGGATGAAAACCAAAGCATGCTAGGCAACTGTTCTACCAACAAAGCAGCATCCCCGGCCCCATTCATTTACTCCTGTTATGGTGAATGTGAAGTTTATCTAAACGTGAATTTATCTTAGTGTCTCTGGAATTTTACAAAGGATAAAGCTTGGGGTTTAGATTGAATTAAGTACTAGGTACCCTCCCTACTACCTGCCTTGTTTTATGTTGTCTTCTCAGTGAAGCGTAGTCTTGATTTGTGGGAATGAATGATCTGCTTATATAAAACACTTGGTATGGTAGACAATTTAATTTTTAAAGAGATTAAATTTTTATAAAAATTGCATTTTCTCTGTCTTTCTAGATATTTTGAGGACTTTGAAAAGAGAATTCCTCGTGAAGAGATGTTACAAATGCAAGTAAGAGTGTGCTGAATTGTGTTCTTTATCAGCATGAGAATGAGAGCTGTCTTTGGATTACTGAATTAATTTTTCTTCTATAGGATATTGTACTAAGTGAAGTTAAAAAAGTGGATTCTGAATACATTGCTACGGTCTGTGGCAGTTTCAGAAGAGGTAATATGCTTCCTAATCTTGAGTTTTTCATACTTTGATGTTAAAGTTGTCTAGTATGTATGACAGACTTCAATTAAAAAGATGTAATGTGTATCACTTTATAGATATCACTTTATAGTTAAGTATATTATTACTTGTTCTAGATGGGAATATGTATAAGTAATTAGGGGAGATTCATCCTAATTTTATTATAGGTCTCTATTTTAATAAGTATCCTTAGCAAAACTGATGGAGTGACTTTAGGTATATAAAAATGCTAATAATAGTTGTCTTTGGCTAGATGCAAGTAAAGCTATGAACACTTTCTGCATTTCTTATAAAGGACCTAAAAGTAATGTCTCAGGGGCCAGCATTATGGCTTAGTGGGTTAAGGCACTTGCTGCTAAGCATGTTAACCTGAGTTTGATCCCTGGGATCCACGTGATGGAAGAAGAGAACTGACTCCCTCAACTTGTCTTCTGACATACATAGTGTATCTCAAAAAATGTTCAAAACCACTTCTCACAATTTCCAGGTTTTCAGATCTTTATTTGCTATACCAGTAAATCAAAATGAGAGTTACATGATCCTGGTCTCTTACTAGCCTAAACCACTAACTTTTAAAATTGGAATAGACAAACTTTATTGAAAACATTTTAGAACAGATACCTGGACTAAATCTCTGGCCACCGGTGGAATTTTGTCTAGGAAGTAGGTGATAGACTATCAGAAATATTTTGAGTCGTTATGGTAAGAGGTTTAAAGTTCATAAGTTCCTAAGTAGCAAGAACACTGGATTTGGATCAAGACCTAGGTTCTGAAGCCTAACCTACATAGCGTTATACAATTTTAGGTAAGTATGTTTTGCCTAATCCTAGTTTTCATATTTGCAAAATGAGAGGAGTGTAGCTAATCAGCTATTCAAATGTTTGCATTAGAGATGACCTGTGTGTTGTTTTATACACACACATACACACACACACACTCACATTTTTACATGGAAAAACTGTAAAGTGTGCCCTTTAAGTGAAAAGGGAAAAGTTCTCAATTTTTATAAAGAAGTGTAGAAAATTGTGTGCTACATTTGCTAACATCTATGGTCAGAATCAGTCTTTTATCTGTGAAATTGTGACAGGAAAAGGACTTCATGCTAGTTTTACTTTTGCAAATTAAATATGACCATAGTACATGTCAAATACTCAGTGAAAGTAGAAAAGTCTGGGGCTGGAGAGATGGCTCAGCGGTTAAAAGCACTGGCTGCTCTTGCAGAGGACCCGGGTTCAAATCCCAGTATCCACATGGCAGCTAACAAGTGTCCATAACTCCAGTTCCAAGGGACCCAACACCCTCTTCTGTCCTGCACTGCATGATGTACACACTTGTAGGCATAACACTTATATACATATAAAATAAAATAAATTTTAATACAAATTTTTAAAAATTAAAAAAAAAAAAGTAGAAAAGGCCGTAAGTTGTAGGGTTCAGTGCTGTTTGTGACTTCAGGCATCCACTGAGGACCTTGCTGTACTCTTACAGTATGGAGGGACAGTATCTTGTTAAAGATTATTAATGTAGGGTGATAGTCTGTAAGGTCTTGTTGGACCTAAAATGTTTCATATATATATACTCACTTAGCAAGCCAAAGAGAGGAGATAGGGTTATTTTACACTGGGCGCTACCCTAGATGCTTTTACATGTGCTCTAATTTAGTTGCACAGTAGCCTATGAAGTAGTTTTTAGTAGTTTATAGACAAAGAACCTGAGTATTACAGGAATGTAAGAGTTCTTTTTGAAATACTGAAAAAAATGAAAAAAGTCTGAGATGAAATTTCATAGTATATAGTAAGGTTCAAGCAGTTGCATATAAGGCTTGTGAAATTATGCGGTTATAAAGATTAAAACCTAAGTAATTGTGACGCACTTATCCAACACACCATAATAGTAATTTATACCAATATTTATTGAATGAATCTTGTTATAACAACTGAAATAAGCTTTCTGATTAACTTTTATAGAGTTAGAGCATAGTGTTAAATTTGAGAATTTCATAGATACATTTCAAAGCCGTTTTAAAAATATTTTTGTAATTGATGGGGGCAGAGAGATGGCTCAGTGGTTAAGAGACTGGCTGCTCTTGCAGGGGACCCAGGTTTGATTCCCATGGCAGCTAACAATCAACTGTAACTCCAGTTCCAGGGGATCTGACACCTTCTTCTGACTTTCTCAGGCAGTGCATGACACGGGTGCACTTACATACATGCAGACAATACACTCGTACACATAAAATAAAAATAATAAAATAGCTCAGCATGGTCACGCACGCCTTTAATCCCAGCACTTGGGAGGCAGAGGCAGATGGATCTCTGTGAGTTCAAGGCCAGCCTGGTCTACATAGTGAGTTCCAGGACAGCTGGGGCTTTTTGAGACCCTGTCTCAAAAAGACCAATAATAATAATAATAATAATAATAATAATAATGAAATATTTTAAAATATTTTTGCAATTGAATGTTTAGATACATTTTAACACATTGAATTAACAAATTATATGCAGTGTCAATTATATTGTTAATCCAGATTCTGCTGTGTCTATCAATAATACTGAATAGTTGGGCAGATAATTGAAATCTTTAATTTTGAATATGAAGCACAATGAAGCAGAATGTTAACTTACCATTATTAAGGCTCTTCTGTGTGTGTCTTCCATTTGGATCTATGGTGGCCAACCTGATAGGTAGATTTACATGGTAAATTACATATATGTTCTTTGTTATCATAGGCGCAGAATCCAGTGGAGACATGGATGTTCTTCTGACCCACCCAAACTTCACCTCAGAATCAATCAAACAGGTACTTCAGAATGTATGATCCAGTGTAATCAGTCCTACACAGGAGTGAATATTGTTTTCTAATGGATGGATATTTTTCTTTCTTTTTTTTTTTTTTTGAGAGACAGGGTGTCCCTGTAGCCTGAGCTGGCCTGGAACTTACCATGTAAACCAGGGTGGCCTTGAACTCATAGAAATCCGCCTCTGTTTGCCTCCCAAGTGCTGGGATTAAAGGCGTGCACCACCACACCCAGCTAAATTGATGACTATTTTTCACAATGTGGCTATTTTTCACAATGTGGGTCTTGTGCATGCTAAGCAAATGCTCTGCCACTGAACCCTAACCCTTAAGTTTTATTTTAATCTTTCTATATTTATATAGACAATTATTATTTGCAAATTAAGCATAATAAGTGAATGAACGGTTGAAGTAGATTCTGCCAGTGCTCCCCACAGCACATAAAAAGAGAAAGTGTGAAGTAATCTGAAAGAAGCCCCAAATGGCAAGAAGACATGAATTACAGGCCATTTTTAAGGTGCAAATGCCTGTTTATTCTCAGTTTTTTTCTGTCTTTTTCCACGAGATAGACAAGTATCTATAGATAAGAATATGCAAGCTGGGCATGGTGGCACACACTTTTAGTTGCCTTTAATCCCTGCACTTGGGAGGCAGAAGCAGGTGGATCTCTGTGAGATTGAGGCCAGCCTGGTCTACACAGGGAGTTCCAGGCCAGCTGGGGCTACAGGGAGACCCTGTCTCAAAAAGACTAAAAAACAAAAACAAAAAAAACCCCACAAACAGTACTACATATTACCTACAGATATCCAGATATAACAAACCACAAAGAAAAGTCCTACAATAAAAACTCAGATTGTACAACATGGTTACATCTAGGGAAGAAGAGGCAAATGTACTCAGGGGAGACTCACATTGACGTTCAGTTGTATATGCAATATTTCATACTTAACATCAGTATATAGATATTTGTTTGTCATAAAATGTATGTCTAAATATTTCAAAGTAACTTAGTTTCCAAAGCTTTATTTCTATTTTTAAAAATGATCCGTACTAATTTAGGACTTGTCTTAACCATAGCCAAATCCAGAGATAATTATTCAATAACCGAACCAGTCATTTGAATTTTGAACAATGTATAACTTTGTACATTGCTCCCATTGTCCTTGCAAGTATATGTATAGGCATTGTATGTGGATTTCATTCTGGAGAATAAATATTTTACTAAAGATTATGAATGTGGTAATTAAATGTTCGGTTTTCCACTGATTGACTCTAAAGCCCACACCTGTAGCCATTGTAAGGCATAATCTTTTTGTCTGTAAGAGCTGAGCCAGCACAGGGTAAGTGACTCCTTATGGTCCTGGACTCAGTCAGCTCAGGTAAAAATATTTTCAGATTGTTGAGGAAAAACTGAAAGCAGTTGTTTTTCACATACATGTGCTGTGCCCACAGTTCCTTACTGTTGCTCTGTACCGTACCACGCTGGGTTCTTTTCTGTGAGCCTAGTTCTGGAGTAGAGTCCACACCCTTCTCTGATGTTACATGGACTAGGACACAGACTACTGCCAGAGTTCTGCCCAGGTTGTGAGCAGAGCATCTTCTTCCAGGTGGAACCTTGTCCTTCTCAACAGATCAGTTTGCCATTAAGTCATCTTTATTGCCCTATAGTGATTGAATTCTGTGAGAGGCAAAATAAGTTACAGGGGGCTAGAGAGATGGCTCAGCAATTTAGAGCATGTACTGCTCTTCCAGAGGACCTGAGTTCAATTCCCAGCAACCATATCAAGCTGTTCAAACTGCCTGTAACTCCAGCTCCTGGGACCTCTGGCTTCCAAGGGCACCTGAACTCACACATAACCCCCACATAGACACACACATTAAAAAAAGGATTCATACTGTTTCTCCTTGAAGATAATTTAACATTTGAGAGCATGAAATTTAAGAAGATATTTCCAGAATTGTTTACTATTTCAGCATAAAGTGTAGATTTTCATTAAAGGGATTTTTTTTTTCTGTTAAAAAAAAGTAGAGCCATGTAAAGGTACTTGGTGCCAAGCCTGACTACCTAAGTTCAGTTTCCAGGAACTCACATGGTAGAAGGAGAAAACTAATTCCCTCTAGCTGTCCTCTGACCTTTAAACGTGCACCATGACATGTACATGCATGCATACACAAAATAATAAATTAACATAAAACAAAGTGCTGAGAAACTTTACTTCTATTAGAAAACCCATGAAGGCAAATATTTTTAATTTTAGAATATATATGCTTTTCAAAAATAAAGTAGCTAATTATTTGATTTAACAAAATATAAATTAAGTGGTTTCTAAGAAAAGTCATTTCATCTGATAGCACATGCTTGTAATCTCAGCATTTGGAAGGAAGAGACAAGAGTCTCATCACATGTTCAATGTCAGCTTGCTCTACAAAGTAAGTTCTAGGCCAGTCAGGACCACTGTCCTAGTTAGTTTCTGTTGCTGTGATTAAAAACACTGACCAAGGCCAGGCGGCACACGCCTTTAATCCCAGCAGAGGCAGGCTAAATTCTGTGGATTCAAAGCCAGCCTGGTCTACATATTGAGTTCCAGGCCAGCTGAGGCTACAAAAGACCCTGTCTCAAAAAGACCAAAACAAACAAACAAACAAAAAAAAGCCACTTACCAAAACCAACTTGGGGAGGACAGGTGTATTTTATCTTACATCTTCCAGGTCATAGTTCATCACTGAGGGAACTCAAGGCAGGAACTTGGAGATGGGAGCTAGAGCACAGACCATGGAGGGATGCTGAATACTGGCTTGCTCCTCTGGCCTGTGTTCAGCCTGCTTTCTTATACAACACACGACCTGCCCAGGGATGGCACAGCATACAGTGGGCTGGGCCCTGCCAATTCACTCAACAAGAAAGTGCTCACAGACATGGCTACAGTCCAATCCAAAGGAGGTAATTCCTCTATTAAGGTTCCCATTACTACCCAGCTGTCAAGTTGACAACTGAAACTATCCAGCACAGCTACGCAGCCAGATCTTGTCTCTAAAATCCAAAAAGAAAACCAAGTTCCATTTGATAAGATGAATTTTCTATTAGAGGAGAAAGATATTCAACATTAAGAAACAAAATAGGGACCTGGTGAGATGGTTTACTGATTAAGAGCACTGACTGCCCTGGACAGAGGACCCAGGTACCTAACAACCATTCTGTAACTCCAGTTCTAGGAGATCAGACACCCTTTTCTAGCCTGTGCAGGCATTTCACAACACAAGAGCACTTACATACATGCAGGCAAAGCACTAATATACATAAAATAGAAATAAATGTTTAAAAAAATACTGTAGTATTCCCTAAAGGGAGGGAGGGAGGGAGGAAGGAATATAAAGGCCTGGAGAGATGGCTTAGCAGTTAAGCATACAGGCTGCTCTTGGAGAGGACCTGGGTTCAGTTCCCAACATCCACATAGCAGCTAAGAATTGTCTATAACTCCAGTTTCGGGGCCCCAAACCCCTCTTCTGGCTTCTGCATGCATGATATGCATGGATGCACTTACATACATGCAGGTAAAACACTCATACACATAAACAATATAGGAGACTGGGCATGATGACACACTCCTTTAATCCCAACACTCAGGAGACAAAGACATCTCTGTGAGGCTAAGGCCATCCTGGTCTACATAACCAGCTGCGGCTACAGGGAAAAACAAAAAAAAACCACTATAGGGAAGCTGGAAAGATGACTTAGCAGATGGAACCATTGCTACACAAGCCTGACTTGAGTTGAATACCTGGAACCCACCCACCTTAAAAGCCCAATGTAGTGGCTGATGTGCACTACTGTGGTAAGATAGGTGAGGGACAAGAGAAACAGCAGAAACTTACCGGCCAGCTAGCAGTATGCCGCATAGAGACAAGAGACCCCTGCCTCAACAGGTAGAAGGAAAGAACCAAAAGTTATATCCTGAACACACTATGGCATGCACACAGCCACCATGCACATATAAACAATAGTTTTTTGAAAAGAAACAATATTGGGTTGGGGGTATAGCTCATGGGTGTTCTCCTAGTATAAACAAGGCCCTGGGTTGGATCCCCAGCACTGCATAAATCAGGGCAGGATGGTATATGCCTACAGGAGGTCATCCTGGGCTGCGTATTTCTAGCACAGCCAGGACAGACCCTGTCTCCAAAAAAGCAACAGTGTAAGGGGTTTAGGGGCCATAGCTCAGTGGCAGAGTAAGGCCCTGGGTTCAGTAAGTTTTCTATTAACTGAATATCCTTTTTTTTTATTTTCCAATTATTGTTATGCAGCCAAAGTTGTTACATCGTGTTGTGGAGCAGTTACACAAAGTCCATTTTATTACCGATACTCTGTCAAAGGGTGAAACAAAGTTCATGGTAAGTACTCTGTGATTTGTAGCTTTCTATCACAATCATTAGAGTATTCCTGAAAACTTAGATAAAAATAATTAGGAGGATTTCTAACTCTCAGAGATCCTTTCAGAATATTTTATTAAAGAATTTTCTTTCAAATTCTATTTGTTAATAATCCGTACCATCATAATTAGTAATGGGCAGAATTTGTTCTTTAAAAATATCCATAATGAAAGGGCTGGAGAGATGACTCAGTGGTTAAGAGCACTGGCTGCTCTTGGCAGAGGACCCAGGTTCGATTTTCAGCACCCATGTGGCTACTACATAATCGGCTGTTACTCCAGTTCCAGGGGAATCCGATGCCCTCTTCTGACCTCCACAGGCATTGCATGACATGGGTGCACTTACATACATGCAGGCAGTACACTCATACACATAAAATAAAAACAATAAATTTTTTTTAAAAGAAACTGTCAGGGCTAGAGAGATGGTTCAGTGATTAAGAGCACTGACTGCTTTTGCAGAGGACCTGGGTTCGGTTCCCAGCATCCATATGACGGCTAACAGTCATTCATAATTCCAGTTCCAGGGGATCTGACATCCTCTTCTGACCTCTGTGAGTATTGCATGACAAAGGTCCACTTACATACATGCAGGCAATACATTCACACACAGTACACTTGCATGTAGGCAAACATTCATAGACTTAAAAATAAATTTTAAAAAATTTAAATAAATAGCGTTTGTATATGACTTAAGAACATTCTTTAAAATTTTAGTTTGATTTTAATTCACTCAAAATGAAAGTTCATTTTACATTAAGAAACATTGAGTCCTAAAACAACATGTGTTGATAAAGGATTTTTTATAAAGTAGCAGAGTGTATTAATGCCCAGAGAATATTCTGGGGAATCTTTTTGGCCCTGGACCTCCAGTGGGTATCTTTGTGAAAGGTATTGAACTGCTTCTTGGAAGGTGCAGCAGTTTTCAGAATTAGAAAACAGGAAAGCATGCAACACACTAGCAGAAGCATTTTTTTAAAGGTGTGTCTGTCTGTCTGTCTGTGTGCCTGTGTGTTCATGTTCATGTATGGATGTTATGGCTGTGGGCATTGGGTGTGTGTGGAGGCCAGTGGTCAATGTTGGGTGCCTTCCTCAATCTTTTCCACCTTATTTTTTTTAGACAGGGTCTCTCTGAACCTGGAGCTCAAGATTGATCTAGACTAGCAAACCCCAGGAATCCTCTTGTCTCAGCCTCCCCAGTGCTGAGATTACAGGTGTGCACTTCCCTCACCCAGGGAAGGGTGCTGGGATCAAATTCAGGTCCTCATGCTTGCATGGCAACCATTTTACCTACTGCTCTGTCTCCCTGGCTCTCTTAAGTTTTTTATTAGTGTATATTAACTACAGTGATGAGTTGCATTATGACATTTTCATGTATATATATAATATATTTTGATCATATTCACTCTTCATTACCCTTTTTTGTCCCCCTTCCACTCATGATCCCCTTCTTCCCAACTAGTCCCCCTTCTACTTGCACACCTTCTTGTATGCAGTATCCTAAGCCCTCATGGACTGGGAACTATGGGGTGGGTCAGGACCACAGATTCATTTATAGCCCACAGATCCTGAACCATTCTGTAAATTACTTCTTTATCAAAATAGTGTTGCTCAGAGAATTACATGAGCATAACACAGGACTTCTATTAATGAGAGGCTACAAAGCCTTTTTGTACCTTAGGCTTTTAAAGGGTATTGGGACCTTTGAAGAAAAGTTGTTGGGTCAGTTGTGACAGGAGTTAGAATTCAGGAATAGAGATATCCAGGACTTTAGGAGAACTTGTTGGGTGATGTGGGCTCTGTAATAGAGACTGGGAAGGGAAGAGACTTTGAGGCTTCAGGCAGCTGCAAGCCATTATAGGATAAAGTATCCAGGAATGTGGTAATAGCCTCTGGAATCTTAAGCCTTAAAAGCTGAAGATTAGACATAATTTCCCAACCTAGAGGATGAATGGGACTGCTAGTTGGAACTGAAAGGAATGAGTAAAAAGATGTTTCTCAATCAGATTAGTTGGGATTCGGTACCAGTGAGGAGGGCTGGGGGATAGAAGGTTGAATCAGAAAAGGTAGTCAGTGTGGAAAAAGTTGCTCCTGCAATGATAAGGAGGCTTTGAGTACTTTCTGTTGAAATGTGCTAGCTGACTACAACAATAATAAAGAGCCTTCAACCTGAGGCTGGGTCAGTTCCCTTAGAATGAACCAGATGTCTTTTAGTTGGAGCTCTAGGATTTCATCAGATGGGCATGGAATAGGCAGTTGCTACATCTATATACTGAGCCTGTCATCTATCTGTTTCCTCCTCCTCTGGCCTTTCTGCATGCCCAGTCTCTTCCTCGTTAATAAAGATCTTGGAGGTTGTGTCTAATAAAGTGGAGGAAGAAGTCTAGAGTCCTGGTTTAGTTTTTGAAGCTTTTCTCTAATCTCTGGAGAGGCTTGGCTTATACAATGTGCAGCCAGTATGACTGGACCTTCCTGACTCTGAGGGTCCAGATTGGTATACTTGTGCCTAATTTTAGCTAGCCTAGATTAAAAGAGGGCAGGGAGAGCTACAGAGATGGCTCAGTGGTTAAGAGCACTGGCTTCTCTTACAGAGGACCAAGGTTTGGGTCCCATCACCCACATGGTGGCTCTAGTTCCAGGGGATCCGATACCTCTCCTGGCCTCTGTGGGCATTGTACACATGTGGTGCACTTACCTACATGCAGGCAAAACACTCATATACATAGAGATAAGTAATTTTTTTAAAAAATGAGGTCAGGCATTGTGGTGCACACCATTAATCCCAGCATTCAGGCAGAGGCAGGCAGATCGCTGAGATCCAGATCATAGCGAGTCCCAGGCTAGCTGGGACTACAGGGAGATCCTGTTTCAAAAAAAAAAAAAGAGAAGGTAGAGTTCTCAGATACACCAAATGTTATATTTTGCAATCTCTTCATATAATATAGTCTCAACAAGTCATTGCCCCTGTCAGTGGCCTGATATGACCAGCAGGGCTTTGTCAAGCATGAATTTCATCATCCCAGGCACATCCTAAAGAGTAGATACAGGATTTCTTGTATGTAAGAGGAGGTGTGGTTAGAATGATAGAGATATCTTGTCAGGTTAGGTCAAAGCTGCAGTTAGCCTTTTGAATTCCTTAATGAAGGTTCAGGGATCCTGGCTAAATTACCCTAGTTTGGATTCTATCTGGAACAGGTCAGATGTGGAGAAGAGGGCATGTACCAGAATGGTGCCAAGGATACCGTTAGCCACCTTTGTGAAAGAGAGGGCTTTTCTGAGGGAGACAAGATAATTTAAATTGTTCTGTGAATTCCCAGTAAGTGAGCAGTTTGAAGGAGAAAGTGTACCAGGGGTAAGAAAGGAACGGTTGGAGAGAGCTCTTCAGAGGTAAACAGGAAGGAGAAAGGAAAGAGGAAGAAGTCACAGAGGGGTAATGGGAACAGAGTAGCTGAGTGGAGGGGTGTCTAGTGGTAGAGGAACCAGAGGTTGAGCAGGGATTAGGCATGCATGAAGGAAAGGTCATGAAAGATGTCATCTAGACTTGAGTTTAGGGGAGATGGGCTAAAAAAGAGAATCTAGTAAGACACTTAGGACATCTCTTTCATAGCTGAGGGCCATGAAGGCTTGGATATGAGAGATCTCAGAGTCCTTTCTTAGTATAACAAAATTGCTCGACCTAGAGAATGCAGTTATAGCTTTAGTGCTCTGTGAAGTAGCCAGCACTCCTGATCTGGGAGTAGATACAAGGACTGGATTTTGTTACAAAGAAAAATAAGCTTTTTGAAAATCTGAGAGTCGAATTTAGACATGTTAAAAATATTTAATTTTGTGTGTATGAATGTATTGCTTGCATGTGTTAAGTGCACCTGTGCCATGCAGTGCCTTCAGGGGTCAGAAGAAGGTGTTGGATTCCCCAGAACTAGAATTACAGATGGTTGTTAGCTACCATGTGGGTGCTGGGAATTGAACCCAGCTCCTCTGCAAGAATAGTCAGTGCTCTTAACCACTGAGCTATCTCTCCAGCTCACAGACAAGTTTTTGAGGATGGATCTCATCATCAGTGACTCAGAGGGGATAGATGTGAGACCTGGGCTGGAGAGATGGCTCAGTGGTTAAGAACACTGACTGTTCTTGCAGAAGACCAGGGTTCGAATCCCAGCACCCACATGGCAGCTAACAACTGTCTGTAACTCCAGTCCCAGGGGATCCGACAGCCTCTTCTGTCTTCCGCAGGCATTGCACAACACGGGTGCACTTACCTACACACAGGCAATACACTCATACACATAAAATAAAAATAATATTTTTTTAAAAAAAGAAGTGAGACCCATTGCATGAATCCTTCTGGAAGTTCATGTCCACCCAGAGGCTGTCCCTTGACAGTAACAGACCTCCCGTTTGTCAGGACGTGAGACCCATTCTCACTGTACAGACTTGATAGAAGCATGCTCTATAATGTGATGTCCCCCATGAATAATCCCTCCTGACTCACAGAGGTGAAGCCCAGTTTCACTCTAGAGTCAAACCTATCCAGTTCGTCAGGTAAGAAACAGGGAAAAGGAGATTCATTATCCTGGAGAAAGCAAAAGACTGGCTACCTGTAGGTCTCTTCGATGAGGAAGTCTGGCTAGGAGGGAAAAAGAAGGTACAAACACTCAGCCACTTCTTCCCAGTCCAAAGAAAAGAGGAAGGAGTGAGGAGAAAGTGGGAGTCTTCATAGTATATGTAGATCCATCCTGGATGAGCTGCCACTGCCGGTTGCACTGCGCATTAAAAGTGAGACTTCCCAGGAGGAAGAAGAGTGGCCTCTTAACCTATATGGGTTATAGTTCGCTGACCCCCTTTTTCTGTTGTGTTCAAGTTCTCTACCAAAGTGTAGCCTTCACCAGAGTCCTTCATTTCCAAAAAGGAAGGCTTTCCATGAGAGGTAAAAGTATCAGATCTGAACAGATATTAAAAAGGTTGATAAAGGAAATATGCAGTAAGAGAGACAGACATGGTGGGCAAATTCTAAGAGAGGGAATCACCTTCCCAAGAGGGAATGGCAGTCCTTTTATAACAGCTAAGAGAAGTTACTTGATCTTACGTGCCATTTGTATAGGATCCATATCTGGATGGATAAATGGCCTCTCATTATCTTAGGTAGTAACTTTTAATAGCACCAGTTGTCTTTACTGAGATTGGCTACTTGGGGCTGAGGCACTGTTGGTCATTAGCAGTTAGGCTCTAAATGAGTGAGACATTACAAGTCACTGGGGTCAGGTTCCAAGTAGTCAGAGTCTGATAAATGATTGAAATTTCTGCTTTAATTTTGGCCTTTTTTTCCTCTGCAGAAGGGGTGGGACGTGACATGAAAAGAGAAGCGGTTGGAGGGAATGGGTGCCACAAAGTTAGGTAGATATGTTTACTCAGTTCAGCAAACATATATTAAACATCTGCTGCATTGCAGATACCATTCGAGGAGCTTGGGCTGTATCAGTGAATTTAAATATAACATATTTGGGGCCGTGGAAAAGGACTGATAGGTTATGGTATTACAGCTATTTTTAAATAGTCTGGGGACACTGAATGTGGGAGAGAGCAGTCAGTGATGTGAAACAGAGTGCTTGGGGCGGCCTCCTTAAGAACATGAGACTTAGGGAAAGCCTTCAGGTGTGGGGAGGGTTCAGGCAGATGTCTGTCTAAGGGAAGAAGAGATGGGCAGACCGAAGGAGTCATAGCAGCAAGTGACTCTAATTGATGGACATGAACTAAGATATCCAAAGAAGTTAAGGTCTCCAGGGTTCTGAAAGGAAATTGACAGCATAATGAATTCAACTTATAAAGTGTAAAAAAATCTTACTGTATTTCCGGTTGATGCTAAAGCCTCTTGTTGCTATGACCACTGGCTGGTTTTGCAGATATGCTGATTCATGGGCTTACTAAATTATCTTCAAAACATGGGTTCCTGCCAGGCGTGGTGGTTATCTTAGTTACTTTTCCTGTTGCTGTGATTAAAATAACCCTGACAAAGCCGGGCGTGGTGGTGCATGCCTTTAATCCCAGCACTCTGGAGGTAGAGACAGGCGGATCTCTGTGAATTCGAGGTCAGCCTGATCTACATAGTGAATTCCAGGACAGCTGGGGCTACAGGGAGACCCTGTCTCAAAAAGAAAAAAAAAAAAAAAAAAAAAAACCCTGACAAAACCAAGTGAAGGAAAAAGGGTTATTTTGACTCACAGTTCAAGGGAGCAGTCCTATCAGGATGGGAAATCCCAGCAGCAGGAGCTTGAGGTGGCTGGTCATGTGGCATTCTCATTTAGGAAGCAAAAAAATAAATGCTTGTATTCACCTTACATTCTCCTTTATATATATATAATTTATTTTTATTTTATGCCTATGAATGTATTGCCTTCATGCATGTGAGTGCATCCGTGTCATGCAATGCCGCGGAGATCAGAGAGGGTTTCGAATTCCCCTGGAACTGGAGTTAAGGATGGTTCGTAGCTGCCATGTGGGTTCTGAGAATCAAACGCGCGTCCTCTAGAGAGCAGTCAGTGCTCTTAACCGCTGAGCTGTCTCACCAGCCCCATAGTCTTCTTTTTATGTGGTTCAGGATCCTACTTCAAGGAACGGTGCCACCCACAACATGCAGGTCTTCCAACCCTAATGAACCTAATCAAGATACTCTCCTGATGAGCCCAGATGATTCTAAATCTCATCAAGTTCACTATAGTGATTAACCAAGTGGCTCATGCCTGTAATCCCAGCACTAGAGAGACTGAGGCAAAGTTGCCAGTTTGAGACTAGCCTAGGCTACATAAAAAGTTCCAGGCCAGTCTGAGCTATAACATGAGACCATGAGACCTTGTCTCAACAAAACCCAAAAACCCAGATTCTCTTAATGTAATCAAACCTTAAGGAAATCAGCATGATTCTATGTTATCTTATAAAATAATAATCTTTAGATAGTTGAGCTGTTCTTCCTATGAATATATTTAGAAGAAAAAAACATTTTCCTCTGCATTTAAATGTCTATTAGCTTTATATAAGATTAGTTCCATTCAAGTGACAGTACAGGATATCTTGACTGCTCCAAGGAAATGAAAGGGTTTATTTCAGATACTCAGAATGAAACAAAAATAATCCATGCAATCTACTAAAAAGTTCACAGTAATACAAAGAAATTCTTTAACATTAGCAAATCAGAAAAAGTTCAGGAAGTAAAATTAACTGAAACAAAGCTGTTGGTTAAACCCCTATTACTGATGGCACAAACAGCAAGCCTGTGGGTCCAGACAGCTATAGCTGCAACTGAGAGCCTCGTAATAATTCCTCATGGAAACACTGACTTATGCACTTGAAGACAGAAGTTGAGCTGGAACTTGCTGAGGCCTAAGGAAATAGGTTTCATATTCTGAAGATAAATGTATTTCATTAATCTTTCAGCTATAGGAACAGCCAAAGAAAATACCCCGTTTTAGATAAGGCTTTTCACTTTTCTGATTAAGACAGCATTGCTTTTAGTGATACATTAACAACTAAAATTTCTTAGACTGTGGCAGTGTAAGTCAAATTATTTTATAATTTGAAATATGTGACGTTTGTGGCTCTTTTTATATATGTATGAGTTACTGCCCAGTCCAGAAATTTTGCTCATTTTTCTGGAAAGGGAAAAGCTGACAAAACTAATTCAGACATTTTGTGTTAGAAAACTGTAGAAGCTGGAGACATGGCTCAACATTAAGAGCACATCCTGTCTTGCAGAGGACCTGAGTTCAGTTCCTAGCACCCACAGTTGGGTAGCTCACATCCACCTATAACTCCAGCTCTGAGGGTATCCAAGGCCTCTGAGCACTGGGAGCTCCTGCACACTTGTACAGACATATATACATACTTAAAAATAACAAAAACGAATATTTTTTAAGACTTTATTTATTTGGGGACTGAACCATTTATTTAATGGTTCTGAGGTTAAGAGCACTGGCTGCTCTTGCAGAAGACCAAGGTTCAAATCCCAGCACCCACATGGTGACTAACAATTGTTCATAACTCCAGTTCCAGGGCATCCAGTGCCCTTTTCTGGCCTCTGTGGGCATTGCAGAACATGTTACACTTACATGCATGCAGGTATAACACTCATACACATAAAATAAAATTTTTTTAAGTTTGAAATAGAAAGTAAATAAAAAAATATTTATTTTCATTTTATGTGTACGAGTGTTTTGCCTGCATGTATATATCACATGCATGCCTGGTGCCTGAGGAGTCCAGGAGATCTCTGTGGGATCAAGGCCAGCCTGATCTATATAGCGAGTTCCAGGTCAGCTGGGCTGCAGGGAGATCTTGTCAAAAAAAAGAAAAAAACCCTCGTAGAGAAGATGATCTAATAATTTGCTTATCTTTTAAATTTTTCTTTGTCGGTTTCCTGTCTCGTAATTTCTGAGATTTCTTCAGACTCTTCTGCTGTCATATTTAACCCTTTCATGAATATTCTTTCTGTAATGTTCTGTTTCATGAATCTGTTATCTTCTGTTATTCAAGGATATTACTGGTGGCAGCTCTTTCATTTGTTTTCTTCTTTCTTCTGATTACTTTTCCCAGTTTGTTTTGGACTCTCATTCATATTTGGTGTTTTGCTTGGTTAATTTCTTGTTTAGAATCATATGAAAGCCAAATTTATATAAGTAGAATCCTTATTTACTACCATGAAATACGATGAGAAGGTGAAGGAATACAGCACATTACAGGCACACTATACCAGAAATGTCTCTTTTGACAATGTCAAAATTGTTGAATGACAGTAAATTCACAAACTACGTGGAGATTTCTCACTGGCGGTTTACCAAAAAGTCCCAGTTCTCCAGGTGGTTGTTAGCAAAGCCAGTTGGAGAGTTGCTGGACACATACAGAACTGAGCCATTTACTCAAACCAAGCTGTAGAAACACCAAGACCCTTGAGGCTCAGGACTGGGTCTGGAGGGAAGGGTTAGTAGATGGGAGGTAATTTAAGTGTGTCACATTAAGCGGTAAACACAGTTGGGAGTTCCCTGACTGTGGGCACCTTTGACAACAGTTGTGAGATGACAATTTGGTGGGGCTCTCTGGGTACCACAGTGTTATGTGGCCTCTTTTAGGGTCCAGGTTGAAGTTGATTTAAGTTCACAGGCCTGGTTTTTCTGATATAGTTTTAATATACCCATGTGCCCATATATTCCCAACTTCTTTGATAAATCTATAGGTGATACCTTTTTACTTCCAGGAAAAAGTTACTTGTCAGTCTGTACATCATGAGTGGTGCTGGATAAGTAGTATTTCCAGTGCATAGACAAGAAGCAGAGTCATCCTGCCTCTACATTTGTGCTCAGAATGGAGCCAAATGCTGCCTATAAAATGGAGCTACTCAGAGCAAGACACAGTCTGAAAGCCACTGTTTTCATACAAATTTGAGCAGGCAGAGCCTGATTCTCCACATAGAGTTTAGAGAGTCTACTAAGCTGAAAGTGCTGAGAACTCTAGAACTCCTGCAATTAGCTAAATAGCTTCACTTTTAACATTTGATAAGATTAAGCCTTAAGTTTAAATTATCTAAACTTTTTTTTTTTTTTAATCTTTGTAGGGTGTGTGCCAGCTTCCCAGGAAAAATGATGAAGAGGAGTATCCACACAGAAGAATTGATATCAGGTATGAGTCCCATTTTGTTGCTAATCTATCAATTTTGGCTTGCATTGAATCCTTTTCTCCCCCTCCCTCTTTAATTGAAGTTTTCATATATATATATATATATATATATAGAGAGAGAGAGAGAGAGAGAGAGAGAGAGAGAGAGCCACTTTTTATTATGAACAGTGATAGGTTCCTGTCAGATGCCAAATACAATGTTAGGATAAACTGTAAAGAATATTAAATGCCTACATACATGCCATTCACCATGACACCTACCACAGGTGAAGTCATTCCCCAAGTGGGTACAGTTAGTTGTAATAAGTGATACTGCTTTTCATTATGCACACCTCTGGCAGAGAAAAGCTTACTGTTATATTGTGTAACTGAAATTTTTGGGCAAAAGCCCAGGCTCCAGCAGCCCCAGCAGACTAGACTTGGCTACCCATCCTAATAACCTTAATTTAAGATAAGCAATAATGAAAAGCAGAATAAGAGATTCAATGTGGTCACATTGGAAAGAGGAACAGATAATAAAGGCTTTCAACAACCCCCAAGTCCATCTTCTGGGTACTGGCATGGGCTTTAGGTTTAAATAGGGGAAGAATCAGAGCATGGGTGAGAGGTATGTACAGTTAAGCAGTTCTGGGAAAGGTGTGGGCCTTTCCATCATTGTCTCTGCTCCAGCCCTACAAACTATAGTGTCCAGGGGGGTTCCTGAGAGGTGATTATTTCTGCTCCACAATGCAGCCTCACTCTCATGAATAATTGCCCTCAAAGTTGTGACCTGTGCTGCTTGAGAGTCTCCTGTTCTGGACTTCCAGGTGACTCAAGTTATAGACAGTTACTTAAAACAGGACAATGGCTTCAACCAAAGTAAAGCAGATAGTTCAAAACAAGGCAGAAGTGTCAGGCTTTTATCTTGCTTTTGGTTACCTTGTGGGTCAGCGTTAGGAGTTTCTAATTGGAGTTGGAGCTGCCAGTTGCAATATTAGGTTTATGAATGGTCAATCTAATGATCTCTCTCAGATTATTTGGCCACATAGGCTTATTTTAGGTATTTTGTTCCTTACTGAATTTAGGAAATCTGTATTTATTAAACTTGAAATGTATACTTTTAAAAAAATTACTTTTTTAAAGGTTGATTCCCAAAGATCAGTATTACTGTGGTGTTCTCTACTTCACTGGAAGTGACATTTTTAATAAGAATATGAGAGCTCATGCCTTAGAAAAGGGCTTCACAATCAATGAGTATACCATCCGCCCCTTGGGAATCACTGGTGAGTATTTGTGACTGCCTTAGAGATAATTCTTTCATCTAGAGAGAAAGTTGTTTTCCAAGTTATTTTACCTGACATGCCTATAATCCCAGCATTTGGGGAATCTGAAGGCAGGTCTTAAGGCCAGCCTTGGCTACCGAGAGAATTTGAGAGCAGACTGGGCTACATGAGATTCTGTCTTGAAAACAAAGGCTATTTTAAGCTAACAAATACAGTTTCTCTAAGAAAGCTTCTTAGTAACACTGACAGTTCATTGTAGCTTCTTTATATGTATATATGTGCATTTTTTTGTTTTGTTTGTTTGGTCTTTTTGAGATAGGATTTCCCTGAGCCCCAGCTGGCTTGGAATTATGTAGGCCATGCTGGCCTCATTCTCACAGAGAGCTGCTTGCCTTTGCTTCCCAAATTCTGGGATTAAAGAAAGGCTGGCACCACCATGCCTGGCTTCTGTATATTTTTAATCTCAGAAGACGTTAAAGAGTCTTCTAAGGCTCAACTGCTGACCAGTAAGACAAAAGTTATTTCCAGTTCTATTAGACTAAATTGCTGGGGATGTAGCTTAATTGGTATAGTACTTGCCTTGCACACATGATGCCCTGAATTTGACCCCCAGCACAAGGGGAAAAGATGAAGTCCTTTCTACCTACCAAGATGCCCGTTCAAAAGACTCTTATGGATCTAAAAGGTTTGGGTAGTTTGTTTTGATGTATCTCTGAAACTTCTGAAGAACTTGGGTATCATTTCTTTTAGTGGTAGAGCATTTTCTTAGCATGTAATAAAGCCTTGAATGCTATCCCCCATGTCCCTCAGTGGGGTAAAGAGCAAAACAAAAACTGGGTATTTTGGCCTCATGCTTTTCAGTTTAAAGAATAAGGTAAGATGACTCAGTGGATAAGGGCACTTGCCATCAGACGTAACAACCTGAATATGATCCCTGGGATCCACATGGTAGGACAAGAGAATCACCTCCTGCAAGTTGTCCTTTAAGCTCTACATGCCCACCCTCTGGCACACACGTGCATATATACATACCCCCCGACACAAAATAAATGGATATAATAAAATATTTTTAAAAGAGTAAGTGTTGCTTGGTCTATGATTTATAGATCATGTTTAACATTTCCCCAACTACTGTGGTTTTACTAGTCTTTACTAAAGAAAATGAAGTTTTGCCATTTTTGTCCTAAAAATTACGTAAAACAAGATTTTTATCTCTGGCAGACCAGGGCACTGCTTCTGCTTCTTTCATTTTAACGTGCATGTAGATCACTTGGGTCCTCTTTAAGTGTAGGTTCTAATTGCATTACATTGGCTTAGAGTGGGACTCAAGAGTCAGTATTTCATTTCATTAATCTGACTTTGGAGACAGGGTATCACTGTGTAGCCCAGGCTGGCCTGGAAATTGTGATGTTTCTGCCTCTGCCTACCAAGTGCTATGATTACAGGTGTGCAACACTACTCCTGGCTTCCAAGTAATGTCAGTGCTACTAATCCAAGAACCACATTTTGAGTTGAAATTTCTAGAGGAACTAAGTAAAATACTTCCTATCATGGCTACAATAGAGATCCAACAGAAAAGAAAATCATGAACTAAAGTGACTTTTCTGACCATAATTGGGGTACTCGGGCTCCTTTTATAGCACTGGTGACATGTGACAAAACAGACACAGGCTTATGTGGGAGGGTGGTGGCAAGCAGGCAGTAGCTTCTTTTTAGTGGCCTTAGTTGGTATTTTTTTTCCTTTCTCTCTCTCTCTCTTTTTTTTTTTTTTTTTTTTTTTTTTTTTTTTTTCTTCCCTGGAGATGGAGCCTAGGGCACTGTGCACGCTAAGCCTCCACCACGGGCACACCCAGGCCAGGTTACCATTTCTTCATCTTCTGAAAGTAAGTCCGACGTAGTTCTCAGTCCTCTATAATTAAGTTCCCAAATTGGCTCTCAAAATACCTTTCTTCTTTTCTGTACTTGCAGGAGTTGCTGGAGAGCCCCTTCCGGTAGATAGTGAGCAAGACATTTTTGATTACATCCAGTGGAAGTACCGAGAGCCCAGGGATCGAAGTGAATGAGACCATCCCCCCACCAACCCCCCCTAGGCATGCCCACCATTAGTCCTAATTTATTTCTTAACCATTGCTATGTAAGGGTATTTGGTGTTTTTAAATGATTGCTGCTTCTCTATGCTTACCATGTACTGTAGTCAATAAAACTTCTTGAGCTGTTACTGAATGTTATTCTTATTTTCTTAGCAAATTTGTTGATGATCATAGTTTATTATGGGTTTGATAGAAAGAACCAGAGACAATGGCAGATGCTTAATGGGAATTTCTATTTCTGCCTTATGCTGCAACTACATTGTTCTTCTTCTATCTGTCCCCTATTTACTCATTACAGTTTAGTCAAGGGACTCCCAGAGGTTACAGAACCATCCAGAATTTGGTTCTGTATTCTTTAGAGACTAGGGACTGTCATAAATTCACCTTTTTCTTTGACCCATTTGTATTATATACTAATAACTGTGCTTTTATTTCACAAGTGAAAACTATAGCATGGGGTTGGAGACCATTAGCAAGGGCCTCCCTATGCAACCCACTTCTACGAGGAATAAAGTTGGCTTCTTAAACCTCAGACAATGCAATTCTTGTTTTTCGCTGAGGTAACTTGTTTGTTTTGGCTTTGTTGATTAGTTTTTTGAGACAGAATCTTCTTGTAGCCCCAGATGGCCTGGAACTCACCAGGTAGACCAATCTGGCCTGGAACTCACAGAGATCCACCTGCCTCTGCCTCCTGAGTGCTGGGATTAAAGATGTGTGCCACCATGCCCTGCCCAAGGTAACTTTTGTGTACAAGTCCTTCAAAGCTCTATCTTCCAAGTATAAAAATTATGTAAATATAAAAATGTAAAAAGTTATCAAATGCTAAGTAAATTATTGGAAACAAAAATATGTGAAAATGCTTTGTAAGTGCAAAGGACTATTCAAACATAAGATCTTTTACCTTTGAATGAATCTTATTTCTTTAGTAACCAAATTATTCTGTACTGGAATAATTTAGGTTCCCTTCTAAGAAATAAAGGAAAATAAAATGGATGGGTGGTTGTTACTGTTTTCTTTTTTTGTTTTTTGAGATAGGGTCTCTGTAGCACCAGCTGGCCTGGAACTTGGTATAGACTAGCTTGGCCTTGATCTCATAGATCCACCTTCCTCTTCCTCCCACACCTGGCTGGAAATGAGTTTTTAAGGAAAAATACAGTATTTCAGTGATAGTTTTCCCTTGCAAGATACAACAATTTAGTTATTTTTAGCTTCAGGCACCATTACTTTTTCTCAAGATACAGTCAGGTAGTAGCCCTTCTTTACCAGAAATGACTCACAAATTTATGGGATAAACACATTGATTAGCTTGTGTGGTAGCCAGATCACTATATATCAAAACATCATGTTGGACACCACTACACAATTTTTAATCTTTTTTCAATTTATTTTTATTTGTGTGAGTGTTATGCCTGCCTGTATGTAAGTGTACCTGCATCATGCAGTGCCCACGGAGGACAGAAGAGGGCGTTGGAGCCCCTAGAACTGCAGTTACAGTGTTAGCCACCATGTGGGCGCTGGGATTTGAACCCAGGTTTTCTGCAAGAACAGCCAGTGCTCTTAACCACTGAGCCATCTCTCTGGCCCCACAATTTCAATTTTTAAAAGATTTATTTTAGCCGGGTGTGGTAGCGCACACCTTTAATCCCAGCACTGGGAGGCAGAGGCAGGCGTATCTCTGTGAGTTCAAGGCCAGCCTGGTCTACATAGTGAGTACCAGGACAGCTGGGGCTACAGGGAGACCCTGTCTCATGTTACTGATACAGTGATTATTTTATTGTAGAATCACATATCCATTCTGTAGATCAATAGACAAAAAGTAGTTCACAATGCAGAATCTCATAATACTCTGCTTGGCTATGTCTGTTCCTAGAAAATATGTTTTTTTGTTTTATTATTTTTATTTTATATGTCTTTGTGTATTGCCTGCTTGTAGGTAAGTGCATCCGTGTCGTGCAATGCCCACGGAGGTCAGAAGAGGCTGTCAGATCCCTTGGACTGGAGTTATGGACAGTTGTTAGCTGCCATGTGGGTGCTGGGATTCAAACCTGGGTCTTCTGCAAGAACAACCAGTGTTCTTAACCACTGAGCCATCTCTCCAGCCCCCAGAAGATATGGTTTTAAGAGATATTTATGCAATCCCTATATTCAGTAGCCTGAGGCCGGAGGATCACGAGTCTGAGTCCAGCCTGGGCTATATATAAGACTTTGTCTAAGAAAACAAAACAAAGAAGTACTTTAAAATTAGTGCCTGCAAGTCTGTTTCAACACAATGAAGAGTCCCATATTTAAGTGTTTACAACTTATATTTTTTGGCATATTCTTAACTGTGTGTGTTGTTGGTTGCCAGTCACTTGACTTCGACATAGTAGTCCAGGACCACAGTCACAGCGCTGGAAGATTTCTGGCCCTTGGGCAGTATCTATTATGTCCTCTCCTAGAGCAGACTTGTCCTTCTGATAGGACTGACTTGCAAATTTTCGTCCAAAAATGGCGAACACAGCAAAGTCCAGGGCTACAGTCCAAAGTTCTAAGACAGCTTTCTCCCTCCTGTCCCGTAACAGGTTGAATGTAGGCTTTTAGTGGGAGATTTAAGTGCGGTATATGTAGTGCTAATGGGATGAGGTCAGGGATCTGTGAATACAGGCTACCCTGCAAACTAAAGCAGCCAGCAGGACCCATAGGTCTCACACTAAAAGCAAAAATGATGTGGAAATTCCAGCCCTACCTAACAAGGTTTATCGTTTTTCTTATAAAGTGAAGACATTCATCAAGAAAAGAAGGGAGTTCCAGTCTTGAGAAATGAGTAACACTCAGCAAAGTTTTGTTAATACAATTTATAGTGAGTATAGATAATAATACTTATAAAGGGGCCAGCTAACCTCATGACATGAACAAGAATGCCATTTCACCACCTTCAAACAATTCTGGCTATGTTATGTCAAAGATTGTAATTGGAGACTCCAATTGTGTAAAAAAACAAAAACTCATTTTGTATTTTATATGAGGTTGAAAAGTGAACGCATCTACTTGTATCTCCTTTGTATCTTGAGGCTCTAGAAAGGGAAACTGGCATGTTTATATCTCAGCATAGTAAAAGTCCTGTGTGTTTGCTTAAAAATTGAACAATAAAAGTTTTCATGCTAACCAGTCATACTAGAGGTGTTGCCCTATCCTGAGCAGCAGACTCTTACGCAATCTCCCTGGCTCTAAGGTGGCAAGAACGTCTTAGTGTGTGGGACTAGGAAGGGAAGTTTTTATTTTAGGAAGATGTGTTCAGAATACTGCTCTTACCCTTACTGCCTTGTGATTTAATACTAGGCTTCCTCTTACGTTTCTTTTCCTCAGTGGGCTGCTCAGTGGTTCCTTTTACTTCAATGCCATCTTGGTCTTCAGCCTTTCTTTCCATTACTGGTGTTTCAGCTTCCATTGTAATGCGAACACCTGAGGGACAACTGGCTTTAGTGTTGCTAACACGAAGGAGCGGAAGTACAGGCATGCAGTTATCATAGTGCTAAGCAGTTTGGTTGCACCTCTGTCTTCCACTTATATATAACTTAGGTTTCTGGGACATGTACTGAATATGTATATGCTCACACATAGCAATGAAAGTTATTGATTAATAAAATCTAAGTGAGAACTGGGCATAGTGGCATACACCTTTAATCCCAGCACTTGGGAGGCAGAGGCAGGTGAACTGTAAGACTGAGGCCAGCCTGGCCTACATGGTGAGTTCCAGGTCAGCTGTGGCTACAGTGAGACCCTGTCTCAAAAAGGCCAAAAATAAATGAATAAATAAAATCTAAGTGAAAGTAGAGGGATTTGAACCATCCACCTTTAATATTGCTCTTAAAATCATTTCTTCCTTGCTGGGCATGGTGGCAGACACCTTTAATCCCAGCACTTGGGAGGCAGAGGCAGGTGGATCTCTGTGAGTTCAAGGCCAGCCTGGTCTACATAGTTCCAGGATAGCTGGGGCTACAGGGAGACCCTATCTCAAAAAAACCAAAAAAAAAAAAAAAAAAATCATTTCTTCCATGTCACTAGCAAGAAATGTTGCCAGTAGTAAATTCTTTTGTTTCATCAAAAACAGGGATAAAACAGATGGTACAACAGTTAAAGAGCACATACTGCTCTTACAGTGGACCAGAGATCAATTTCCAACACACAACTCCCTGTAACTCCAGAGGATCTGACAACCTCTTCTGGCTTCTGTTTGTCATATGCCCATACACAAACACAGACACACTCACATACACATAATTAAAAGTAATAAATCTTAAAAAAGCAGCTCCAAGAACCCCATAGAACCAATTCCCCTGGAGTATCCCTAGTCTGTGAGACTCAGCTGATGCCTTCGGTTTGTAACCCCCATGGCTTGGAGCCAGGCAGTCCTGCGGGGAGTGAGTGGAGGGTTCAAGATTGCTCACCATTCATGCAGAATGTTCCTGGGCAGCACATGGCATTCCTCTGGCACCTCCTTCTTACCCTTCGGCATGTGGCACAGAATGACTTCTCATCATAGGGCATGAGGCAGAATTTTCCAGCATTACAGTCTTTGTCTGACACACACTGTGAGCCCTGTGAAGGGAAGCTTGTCACAGGCTGGGAAATCCAACAAGATGTAAGAGGCCTTTATCCAAAGCATGGGTAGAGAACCAAACCATCAAGGCAATTGGGGTGCTGTGACAAACCTTGGCAAACTATCTTCATTTTTCAGAATAATTGGTTTTCCTCTGGGAAGGGGAAGTCAAACCACCTGTGAAGAGACCTTGGTCTGTAGAGGCTTTGTGTGAAGGAAAATTTGTCTTTTAATTATGAACCACACCTCAACCTGTTTTACCTTTAAAACTGAATTTAGGGCCACCTGTGGTGGTGCACGTCTTTGATCCCACCACTCAGGAGGTAGAAGCAGGCAGATCTCTGTGAGATCAAGGCCAGCCTGGTCTACATAGCAAGTTCCAGGCTAGCTGGGGTTACAGGGAGACCCTCTCAAAAAGATCAAAAAAATTTCAAAAAGTAATGTTCTTTGTAAAAAGTGGAATAAGATTTTTCCTGTAGTTTTTATTTTGCCTTATAAAAATTAATTAATTGTTTTGGTGTTATAAAAGGTATTTTTCATTTTTTTCTTGTATATATCTTACAGATGATAGCTCTTTCTCTTTTTCCCTCTTTTCTTTCTCTTTTCTTTCTGGAGTCTCCCTGTAGCCCCAGCTGGCCTGAACTTGAGATATAGACCAGGCTGGCCTCAAACAGAGATTCTCCTGCCTCTGCCTCCTGAGTACTGGGACTAAAGGTGTACATACCACCAAGCCTGACAGATGACGGATGATTTTTTTCAATACATTTTTCTGAGTGCCATCAAGTCACTGCATCCATTCCTTCCCAGCTGTCCTTTATTATGTGTAAGTACACAGATATGGTATAACATATATTATAAAATATACACACATGATACTACCCCAAAAACAATTCTGTGAAGTAGAATTCCTGTCATGGGACATGTCATAGCCCAGTGTGCTTAAATTCTAACTCCTGCATACTCACTGTGTTGTCTTGGTTTAAATTCCTGAGTCTCTTTTTCTTCATTGTAATTAGAAAGTGTGGTGCCTATCTCAAGTTGTGAGGAAGGTAAATGAGCTGTTATGTATAAAGGCCTAGCTCATGGCAGCACTTTCACTTATGCTCTGATTTGTAGACAGATTTAGAGCCCTTGATGGGAGAACTATTTTACCTTTTCTGCTTGCTTTGCTTTTTTTTTTTTAATCACCTGTAGCTCAGGCTGGCCTCCAATTTATGGCCCTGAACTGCCTCTGGAGTGATGGGATTACTGGCTGATGGGATTACTGGCGTGTGTTCTTTTAATATGTTAATGATGAGAGAACTGGATTCAGTGTGCAGCCTCTGTTCCTGCTATCATGCCTGATACCTAACACAACTGCTGCTTAGCTGCACTTACCTTGCCTGCCCCTTGCATGTCGATCAAGCTCTTGATGTTGTTAAAGGCCAGAACCAAAGCTCCCAGGGGCGAGCAGAACCAGCTGACTCCCAGCAAGGCCACCAGCATCATCCTTCAGTAGCCAGGGTCTCCTGGAGGTACCCCCACCCCCACCCCCCAGCTCCTTGCGTCCTACAGAGGCTGGACTGCTCCAAACCCAGAGCTGAGTGGTCCGGCAGCGCTCTGCGAGTCGCCTGTAGCTTTCTTTTCTGGGAGGAGCTAATCTGCATGAAGAGGATTTGTTAAATGGAAGTTAAAAGGGACCAGTGAGGTCGGGCCAGCAGGTTCCTTTGGAAACTATTTATAGCCACATGAGGATCTCTTTTTCCCTCCCTACTTGTTTCCTTCCTCTTCACCGCACACAGGCTTCAACAAATCCTGTCAAATCTTTGATCAAGAGTTCAAAACGAACTCAATAGAAAGAGACCAGAGGCAGCTCAGCAGCTGCTCCTTGAGGGGAATCCTTAATTATCTTGTGTCAAAGTCAGTTCCAAGGGCTCCCCAGCATGCAGGATGCGGGTATCAAAGGCAGCTCTGATAATCACCTGCATTTCCGATCTTCAGTAATCCTTGCAAGGAGGGGAGAGAGCACTAGGGAACCGGACACAACAGTAGGATGTGTTTTCAACTAATTGTGCTCAAAGAAAGACATTGGCCAATATGCTGTAGAGGATGCGAAATCTAATCAAATCTACTGAGCACTTAAAAGTGGGAAACAGAGTGCCTTCTCATTAGCGCTGGCGTCCAGATGCAAAAGTCCCAATAGCTTTAGAACTATGAATCACCTATTCAGATAAATGTAAATTGGGAAATTACTCTTCTAAGATGAAAACTGAGTTGTTTGAAGTTAAAGTTATTTAATTATAGAAATAAATGGGGTATATAAATATCTGATTTTATTTTCAAATGTTTTATTTTTTTTAGTGATACATAAAAGCACAAATTGACAACTGTGGTTCCAGCACTTGCGAGGTGAAGGCGGAAGGGTCAGGAGTCCGAGGTCTGTCTCAGCTACATAGCAAATTGGAGAACAGCCTGGACTACATGAGAGAGACCTGTCTGAAACAACTGTGGTGAAAGGTTTTGATGATGGGGAAGCCACAGAAGGTCCATTTTCTTTGGATTTATACAATTCAGGAGGCATCTTTGTGTCTGTTTTATGAACAATCTAATTTGTATTTCCATTATGTTAAGTTGACCTAAGAGCAACATATATTTAAGCCTCTACCTCGTTTCAGATGAAATTTGAAGCATTTCCAGTTTTCCTAATTTGAATTTTAAAAGTTTTTAAAAGATTTTATTTTTAATTGTGCATATGTGTGTATGTGTGAGTGTGGATTTGTGCACATAAGTACAGTGCTCAAAGAGGCCAGAAAAGGGCATTGGCTCCCCTAGAGCTGGAGTTATAAGTCCTGAACCACCACCCCATGTGGGTGTTGAGAACCAAACCCAGGTGCTCTTAACTGCTTAACGTATCTCTTTAGCCCCTAATTTGATTTTTTCTTTTCTTTTTTTGTCTTTGAGACAAGGTTTCCCTGTAGCCAGAGCTGGCCTAGACCTAGCTATGTAGGTCAAGCTCCTAATTTGAATTTTTAAAATCTGCTTCAACCTTTTCTTGTCTCAAAATTTTTTTTTTATGTTGGAGTCTTAATGTTGCCCAGGATAGCCTCAAACTCCCAACTCAGGCACCTTTCTGTCTCCACTTCTTAGTAGCAACTGCCGATATGCTGTTAGAGAAGTCATTTAAGCATGTGTTTCTCACTATTTTGAGTGCTTTAAGGGGAGAACAAACTAGGTGTAGGGTTTTTTTTAATGCCTTTTAGTCCTCTTCACAGTTTTCATTATGCACTTGGCCTAGGATCTCAGGTGTGAGGTGTTTTTTGAAATCTAACCAAGGCAGATTTTCCAAAGGTGGGGACTGCGGCTTTACTGGATCTTCCTGCAGGGCTCTTAACACAGCCCGGGGTACTGTATGGCACATTCTGGTGATGAAGGCATCTCAATCAGGAGTCCAGAAGGGGCTCTCAAGCTGCAGGAGTATGTTGCCCTACAGTCCAGCTCTCTTCCTTGTAGCTGTGTGGTACAATGGGAGTTGCTCCTCCTTTTTTTTTCTTTCTTTGTCACTTGCACTGATTACATCAAGCACTCTTTGACAGTGTGACAAGCCTAGTGAGTAGTGGGGTTACAGAATTTATTTTGAAGGTGGAAAATTATGAGTCCCTGTGTGGTGTTTCAGCTTCCTGTTCCTAACTGACCTGCAGAGAATGTCAGAGAATCAAAGGCTTTGGGGTACACACAGATGAAAGACCAACAGGGGATCCTGTGATGTGGTAGTCATCAAACTCTTGTGACTGAGTTTTGGGAATACACTGTAAAATTCTGGGGAGCTGGAGTACAGGGAAAAACCCTGGATGGATGGGTGGGTGGTGTCCTTTTATGACAAGCACTAAAGTAGAAGTCTAAAAGCAAGGCTGGAAGGCTGATTCAGGCATAACGTAAGAGGGGCTGATTTAGAATTTCTGGAAAAATAAAAAGAGTGTTTATAGGGTGAGTAATATTTTTTATGGGACGCATGTGAGTTTTCCAGGTTGAGAGGCATGGGTTGGTCTCACCCCAGGCTCAGAAGGTGGAAAGAGAGAGTAAGGGAAGGGGAGCTGCGGGCAGGTTCTTTGGGACTTCTGAGATGCTGCAGTAGGTGATGGGGGATGAAGATGATCCACTAGCAGAGCTGCATTCTGTTCTCCAAGCACTAGGAGTACCAGAAGGTACTTGAGCCTGAAGTTGGCATACTCTAATTTGCTTTCTAGAAGGAGGTGCTGGTGTGGAGCTGGGATTGTGAAGAGTTAGTATATCAGGAGATGGCTCAAGAACCCACTGTAACTGCTCCTCACAGATGAAGCAGTGAGAACCAAGGGAATGACTGGGTTCTGAGATTGAGTCCACTCCAGCTGATGTGGATGTACAGAGGGAGTCAAAGGACTGAGGATAAACATAACATTTCTAATTTGGCACAAGGGGCCAATGGTGGCTCCGGAAATGGGGATTCTAGGCTGGAAAGATTAGAGGAGTCAAGATAACAGTTTGCTCTGAAGAAAGCCCTCCAAATAATCGTGTTTGCTGGATGTCTAATATCAAGGTGTGATATTAACTGGTGTGTTTCATTCTGTTTCCTGGACACAAAGTGGATGCAGATGTCAGACCAACACTGGAGAGCAAAGTGCCCCCCCCACCGCCCAGCGTTATAGTGTCTCTGTTTCTGTCTCTCTTTCTCTCAGTAATGAAAAAAGATGGGCTTCAGGGCCAAGCAGACCCAATTTTGTCACAGCCTGGCTTCCTGCCCCTCTCCTCTTTCTGTTCTTCCAAAATCCTATGACAGTACTTAGAAATTCTCCTTTTATTAGCTACTTATTTGTGTGTCTGCTTAGATGGTGAGCTCTGCAAGGTCAGGGCTCTCAGTAATTCATACTTGTATCCTCAGAGCTTTGAGTGCCTAGCATATAATAAAAGCTTAAAAAAAAACTTTTCCTTTTTTTCTATTTGCTTATTTGTTTATTTATTTATTTATTTATTTTTGAAGAAGACTCTTGCTGAGGCTGACCTGGATCTGGCAGCTTCAGCTTTCAGAGTTTTAGGTCCAAAAGTGTGTATCACTGTACTCAACTGAAGCTCCAAAACTTTTTATGCGACACCTGAATGCAGACATAAATGAATTTATGGGATCTTTGTGGTGTGAAGCAAATTGATTCTTCTAGGATGCAAATGTTTTCAACTGTAAAATTGGCTCTTCCTGTATTAGCTTTTCATTACTATGGCAAAACCCAGAGACAATCAATTTGAAAAGAGGAATGGCTTAGTTTTGCTTATGTTTTCAGAAATTTCAGTCCACAGTCACTTAACGCCACTGCCTTTGGGCCTGTGCTTACCTCATGGTGGTCAAGAGGCAGAAAATAACATGAGGAGTCCAGAGTCCCACTATCCCCTCAAAAGGCATGCTCTCAGTGACCTAACTGCCTTCGTTAGGCATCCTTCCATTAGATAGAACCTGTTGTTTCTTTTCTTTTCTTTCTCATTTATGGGGCGCGCTGGGCGCCAGGTGTGAGGTGCGTGGGTATCTCGGGGCCCCGCGCACACCTGGAGAGTCGCGGCGCGGTCCCGCGGGCTTCTCTGCCATGCCGAGTCCCGCGTCGCTGTCCGCTGCTGAGGTGCTGAAGGTCTCGCAGCACCGCGGCCCCGCGTCTCTGTTGTGGCAGCAGGTCTCTGCTTCTCCGCTGCTTCCCTGCATCTTCCGTGGCTCTCTGCTGCTGGGGCTTTGCCAAGCCGAGTCCTGCCCTAATTTCACCCGTGCACTTTCCTCCAGATGCGAAATCCACCGGCCGCTGAATCACGCGGGAGAGTGTGAGGCGGCTAAAGCTGGGATCCGTGAGTAGGTGACGGAAAGACAGCTCTTCCTGGGAAGGCTGGATTGTAGGCAGTGAGACAAGACTCAGCTCAGCCAGACTCAGTGTTACAGCTCTTTATTCAATGGCTCTGCGTGGCTCCAAGTCTCAGTGTCCCAGCTCCTAGTCTCAGATCCAGCTCCTTCAATTATTGAGGGGAATCAGGGAACTTTATACCGTGGGGGTAGTGGTAAAAGCTTCAGCTGATAGGTACTTTGGGGATGCCTCATTTGCGTGTGGAAATGGGCTCCCGCCAGGCTGCCAAACTGCTTGAAAATCACACAGGAAAGCCTAATAGTTACAGAGCCGGAGGCTACATTCCTGTGGCTGCTACTTCACAAAGGAGTCAGGAAAAATGCCGGGAAGGCACCCTGCTGTGAAAGGAGTCTCTGAGCTCGTGAGCTATCCGGACATGGAGAAACTTCTACTTTACACAACAGAGGTCCCCAACACTCACTGGGTAGCCCTGGGTAGCCTTCAACACACAGAGATCCTCCTGCCTCTGCTTCCTGAGTACTGGGATTAAAGGCATGCACCACCATGCCCAGCCTCATAATAACGTTTTGATAGCTTAATATTTCTCTAAATCCTGGCAGAGAAACCTGCATCCTTAAAACTCTAAATAAAATTATTTCC